TTTGTAACCATGAATTTATATCAAATGTATATTCTTATCAACTAGTGGATGTATATTAACCTCGGAGTCTGATAGTCTACCAATGAGCATTGTAAAGATCCTGTTAAAGTAAAGATTTGGTGTTATATCCTAGAAGATACGTCTAAATTCGTAAATTTTGTAGACAACCAATGGTTATTTAAGTGTCAAAGTTTAGTCCACGAAAACAAAATTGACAAAACTAATGTTATTCATTAAACATATTTTTTCTCATTTGAATAGCTCGTGGATTAATTATATGGTATATAACATCAGGACAAAACCTAATACATGGTATTTGTAAACAAGTGCTCGTATTTTGACCTTTGTTAACATTATCTGGATCGATCACAAGCGTAATTATCAAACCATGTGCACTTCTGAACGATAACTTTTCTATGCTGAAGTGCAGTGTATATTTATCAAAGTTGAGATGAAAGGTTAAACCCTTTTCCTGACATACATTAAGAGAACATTGATAAAATCTGTTTGTGTGACAAAAACGGGCTTCCTACCGTACGATTTACTTTGATTTCGGGCCAAATAAAAGAAATACCGTAATGTTTGAGATTGCCGTACCTATCCAATATCTGTATTCCTCAAACTTAATCACAAGTCTTTCTTGCCACTTTTGGTAGTGAATTGAGACAGGTCTCCTCATATGTTCAAGGTAATATAATTGAGCAAAACAAAAAGAACTTCTACATACCTACTTTAACGAAGGAAACACCAATTAAGGGCTAGTATATATATATAGTAATTAGATTTGTCTTACTATACAAATCCTTGGAAACACTAATGTCACTAATAAAATTGAGACTGGAAAAGGGGAATATGTCAAAGAGACAACAACCCGACCAAAGAGCAGACAACAGCCGAAAACACACATTACTCTTTGTTTGACCTTAATAATCATGTGCTTAAAGTCAATTTTCCAAGAGATGACATCGCCTAAAAAGTTGTATCGTCCGAATGTCAAAATGTTTATTTAAAAGATACATAAACATTTTTACCTGGTTTTAAAGTCGTTCTCTAACTGGTTCGACATGGTCGATCATGGTCGTATAACTGGATCCTGAAGATAATGCACCAAGCCTCAAGTGGTTGTTTATACATATGGTATATATCTTATTTCGTTAATTTGAAATTTCAAAACAAGTATCCATCGTAGAGAAGTGAAATATAACGAACGAATGAAATATTAGGATTAAAAATATATCCAAACAACAATTTGAAGAACTACAACGTACCTAAATGAAACAAGACTGATGATAAAAAAAACTTATCCAAAAAAAACTCAACGAAATGCAAATAATTGAGTCCATGACAAACAAAATAAAGCAATTGAACTTGGCGAAAATAGGTCACTTACTTCTTTCAAAAATAGTTACTTTGAAAAAAAACAAGATAACACAATTCACATACCCACGATTTTTATCTATAAACATGTTTTTGTAGGTAGCTTTACCAACACCGTGATAAACGATTGTGTCCTGTGCATGCTAGAGTCAGAATGTCCTGTGCATGCTAGAGTCGGGACACAATCGTTTATCACGGTGTTGGTGAAGCTATTATTATCCTCGCTTTTCATAAATAAGCAACACAACGGGTGCCACGTGCGGAGCAGGATCTGCTTACACTGAGCATCTGTAATATATTACCGAAGCATCTGAGATCCATCCCGGATTTTTGGTGGGGCTTGCGTTGCACAGTCTTTAAGTTTTTAATGTTGTGTTTTGTGTACTATTGTTTGTCTGTCGGTCTTTTTCTCTTTTTGGCATGGCATTGTCAGATTATGATTATTTCGACTTATGAGTTTGAATGTCCCTTTTGATATCTTTCGCCTCTCTTCGTTCGAAATATCTGGCGAAGAGTTTGAAGAAAACATAACATCCAAATTTCCTTAAGTGAATACCTACCCCTTTAGTATTTTATAAAGATTTGAACAATTCCAACAGCATGTGAAATCAACGCATCGCAACCTATCAACATGAAATAAAATATACCAAAATGCAACCAAAATGTTCAAACAACAAAGCACCGAACGTTCTTAAATGATCAAATTGGTCTTAGCCTAACGAAATTAAGTTCATGCCAAATAGAAAAGAATACAATTCAACTTGAAAAGAAAGTTCATATCAGTAAGTTCTACATGTACTATATCCGTTAGTAATGCACAAATAGAAAAAAAATAATAAACCATTTCAGCGATCTAGTATAATCTCAAATTAACAGATAACATACTGAGTTACATTTCTGTTAATTAAGTATACTTCCTGATGACAAACATTAATAATCTGAAATCCAAGCTCGGCTTGTTTCACACTTTTTAATCTCTTTGTTTTATGTTTTGATTTTTTTTCAAGAAATTGCCATTGCTTTTAATCGCGGACAGCGAAGACGACGCCAAATGAACTACAATGTAAACTGCCGATTTTTTTCAATATTAACTTTCCCTCAACTTTCAAAACAAAAGCAGAACAACGCTAATATTCTAATATTTTACTATTTGAATATTTTGTATGTTTAGTTATATTGTTGTATAACTGTGTAGATGCTAGCAACAAAAAATTGAGGTCTTTTTTTCTTGATTTGAGAGAAGGAAAGCTTCTTAAAATAGATTTCCAAGAATTGGTCATGCATTCTGCCACAACTTCGTATCATTATTTGAAGACGTGAACTTTGCTTTTCTTGGCAAATTTTCTATGTTAAATCAACTCGAGTAAACAGATTAAAAGATTTATCACTTGTTTTAACCTAGATAATTTAAGGACGTTATTATAAAGTGCACACGTTATACAAATATTATTGACAAAAGTTGGAATTTCTTAAATAATTACATCATTTATGAAGTGGTCGTGGATTTGTTTGGATGTCCATTGACATTAGAAGATGTGGGTTACAGATTACAATGCTACAGGAAATTTAAGGAGGCAACAGTTTGTGTTTACTACTACATGTTGATTTCATAACCAACCTACTGCTGTTTCCTCTTCCTTTATATAACTTTCGAAAGTCACACAAAACGTCTGTGTCTATTTCCCGTTTTTATAACTCTTTTTTAAAATAAATTTCTTTTTTCTATGACCGAAAAAACTCTTAAGCTGTAAATTTTGTTGATTTTGTTTAACTCAGGTTCTAGTGATTTTACCTTCCATAATAATGTTTTCGTCTTTATCTGTAAAAAATGTTCCATCGCCAGACAATGTCCACTATTACTTATATGTATATTTTTTTAATCAGATTTAGATTTAAATGAATCAAAAATACTACTGCAATTAACTTGCCCTTTTGAGATCTGTTTTAATGGATGAGATAAACATTGGACAAATTTTTAATAGTCGTAAAATGATGCATAAAACTCTGATTTCAATGTTTGAAATAAATTGTTTTATTGAAGAAACTTTTTTTGATTTTCCTTTTCTTATTTGCAGAATACATTCGTATTGAGAATTGCAAGTCATGTTAAGTATTCACACCTATCATATTGTTTGAATTATAGTGTCTTCGATTCAGTAGGATCTTGTCTAATTTATAGTTTTACACTAGATTTAAAGTTTCAACTGGAGTTCAAAATAATCTTCAAAAACATAAACTGTGGCTTTGTTTGCTCTACCGATTATCAATAAAATTCTATATATATTTGTAACAAAAACAGCATGTGTTCCTTTAGATTGGTACTTAGCGCAAAATAGTTTTAATATACATTGTAATGTCAAATAATCGTGATACATGAAGCACGTCCAGTTATAAGTCAGTGTGTGTGTGTGTGTGTGGGGGGGGGGGGGGGGGTTATTGATGTTTATAGCACACTTTTCTTTTAACAGAGTCAATTTCGCAACGTTTGTGAGCATCGAACCTGAGGAGGGGGCCAAAACCGTCTAATTGAATAAAAGGAAATTGTGATATTCGTCAATGAGACAGCGACCCGACGACACAAATAACAGAAACATCTAATACATCTTAAGGGTAACATAATGGCATCAACAATAGAGGAGTGCCTACACAATATGTCAAGCTATGCCTGGGGGAGTTGCAATCTTAGGTTTATTAGAATTTCATAATTCATAAACTGAAAATTTAGTAATATGAATTATGTAAATTATGTAAATACCAAAGTATTGGTCATGGGATTATAGATACACTTGGGTACTGACAATCAACCATCAGCCATACACACCCAGTGGCAGTAATTAGAAATTAAGATATGATTTCAGTGCAAGTTAACAATAAAATTACAAATCTCATGAGTATTATAAGTGCATTCCCCTTTATTCTCCTATATCTATATTTATGCAGAAATATATATAAAAACAGATTTCCACCAAATTATCTATTGGTATTATTCTAATGATAATCATGACCAGTTTTTTTAATGTTATCAATTTCGAGGACTAAAACTTTAATTATTACAATTATAAAATGATTTAAAAACGGAAACAACACAACGGTTGCTTACATCTCCATCATTTGGTCTCTGTTGATGTTTGTCACATTGGAAGTCATACCACGTCTCATTATATTTATTTTGTACAGTCATAATTTGCACAGTCTTTATCAAAATGCTGTAACCTTGCTCTGACAAATATGTAAAGACTATACTCATGCGCAGGAGTAACAGAACACACTTTATTTTTCTAGAAAAAGTACATGTAAATGTAATAAGTTAGTGTAAATAAAAATACCACAATTTGTTTTAGGCAAGGCTGAAGCTACGCTAGGAAAGAGTTTTGACTGACCGTTTTTTTTTCAATAAACTTCACTGTTAAGTAATGCTCTCATGCAAAATTCACCACTTATATTGTGTAGATTTTTTATTTCAATATTTTTGTTAATTTTATCTACATCAATTAGCCTATCATTAAAATAGTCCAGTATTCTACCTTAAATTGAAGTCCACACAAAGTATATAGATTACATTTGACATATTTAAAAATGGAATTTCCATCAAGGAGATAGGAGTGCTGTGTTATTTAACTTACCTATATATTTTACATTATATATCCTTTCATTGAATAATTTTTCACTTCCATGTTTTAACCAATGTTTTTTTTTATATTCCTAATTTAATGAGGGTCCATTTTCCGTGGGTTCGGTCGCTCTGTAACTGTAACTATCAAGGACTGACAATCACGGGCTCGGGTGAAGGTACATATTATACAAATGATTATTTTTAGAACTACCACAGTTTAAATATGTTAAAGGTTTTAACGTTTTATCTATGCTTAAATTTTTACTGACTGAGTTACGAAATACACGTGACACTTTAAAATATATCCATATAAATAGCCAGGTACATCACTCACAAGTGTCCTTTTGTCAACGAAGGATAAACAGATAAAACACAAAAAAAAAAGTATTCGAAAATTTGCTTTATTACAAAATGTAGCATATAAATTTCAAAATGAAAATGAATTACAATAAATCAAATCAAATCAAATCAAATCATTTTATTGGTGTAAAATCCAAATATTGGATTGTTACCAAGACAAACATGACAATCATTACAAACATATAATATTTAAATTTAAACAACATTCATATTCTATAAGACTATATTTAGATGTTTTGGAGGAGGTGATACTTTTGCAAATTTAAAAGTTCAAGTACAAAAATTATAATACAATTGTTATAAAATATATCATAACAAATACAATAAGAAAAATATTGAATAGTCACAACTTTGTTACATCGATTAGTTCTTCTTATCAGCTAGGCTATTTCTTAAAACATATAAATCATTAACTCCCTTGACAATAATTTTAGTTACATCATACTCATTAAATGTAAACATAAATGCAAATTTTTCCTCATCAGACATTTTGGTGAAATCTGGAACTATACTCTCTACTTCCTGAAAAAGTTTTTGCCTACATTCTTCTAAAATTTGACATTTTAAAGCAAAATGATATTCATCTTCTACCTCTTTTTTACAGAGAGGACATAATCTTTTTTTCCAAAGGTAATTTACGGTGTCTACCCTGTTCAATATTTAGATAACTATTACTTATTCTTATTTTTATAAAATTTGATATCATGTATCGATCTAATAAAATTGAGAATGGAAATGGGGAATGTGTCAAAGAGACAACAACCCGACCATAGAACAGACAACAGCAGAAGGTCACCAACAGGTCTTCCTATTAATAAAAAATTTTCTAATTTGTATTCTTTTTTTAATTTTCTGTATGTTCTTAATTTGTTTCCATTAGGATTATTTTGGTCGTTAAAAAGACTGTCTTTCCAGAAATCTGTATACCTTTCAGCTATGAGTAAACAATAAAATAAAACCCATATAACGGCATATGCAAATTTGGAAATGCTATACAGTGAAAAAAGGTATATTACGAACTTATTTCAAATTAAATGATATTTTTAAAAGAGAGACTTATCTATATGTTGTGGGAAATTTTGACACTAAAAAGAATCTCACACTTATAAGATTTAGTGCTCATAAATTAGCCATTGAGCAGGCTCGTTATAGAAAGATTGACAAAGATAAAAGAATTATTGTTTCGTACGTAAATCAGGCCGTTAGTTTTCTCGTTTGAATTGTTTTACATTTGTCATTTCGGGGCCTTTTATAGCTGACTATGCTGTATGGGCTTTGTTCATTGTTGAAGGCCGTATGGAGACCTATAGTTGTTAATTTCTATGTCTTTTGATCTCTTGTGGAGAGTTGTCTCATTGGCAATCATACCACATCTTCTTATTTTTATATATCTGTATAGCTATGCCCTTAATTAGAAAGTAAACATCTTGTATCTTGTACTTGTTAAAAATAAATTGTATATCGTTGTTGGACTATATAAAAATAAGGAGATGTGGTATGATTGCCAATGAAACAACTATCCACCAAAGTTCAAATGAAGTGGATGTTAGCAATTATAGGCAACCGGACGGCCTTCAATAATGAGAAAAAACCCATACCGTATGGTCGGCTATAAAAGGTCCCGACATGAAAAATATGAAACAATTCAATTGAGAAAACTAACGCCCTAATGATATACGTATATCTAGAATGTTTGTCAAAATTGCACTTGGATAACTGAATACTGTTTTAATTCTATCTGTGATATCAGTTTATATAATATACAATCGCCTTAAGTATCATCCAGATATATTTCGATTTCACGTCTTAAAAAGTTTTTATCCACCAAATAGATAATTTAAACCATATATTATATATTTTGTATAAATTAATCATTGTAAACACGTTACCTCAGCTGGAAAATAAGCATTATGCATCTCTGATATATCATACCTTGATATATTTATTTTTTTACCAATCAAATAAATATTTTGAAATATGAATACAAGAGATGTTAGGAAAACGTCACTAAGACAGCAATACAAAAACATATAAAATAAAATAAAACAATAAATAAATAAAAGAAACATGTCCGTCATATTTGTTTTTTGTTAATTGTTTTGTCATAAATCAGGTCGTTGGTGTTCTCCTTAGACTTTTTCACATTTATAGATGTTTATACGGTATGGGTTTACTCTTTGTTGAAGGTCGTACGGTGATACATGTATATATATATATAGTCACTTAGGCAAGTTCAAACGGGTTTTTTTGGGGGGTGGGGAGAATGGTTATGTCATTTGTTTAAACTGGACTTTAAACTAACTCATAGTAGCTGCAAGTACCATTAGAACGGTACTTTCAGCCTATGTTCTTTATTGTTGTGCTTACCAATGATCCATTCTTTACATAGAACATTTATACATGAGCTTATCATTTTCATTATAATAGAGCTGTTTTATAAAAATTGTCAATTAAAAAATGTTGAAACTTTACAGTGTACATGTGTATAAAATCTTGTAACAACATGTTAACAAAATAAAATATAAGAGGAAGTTTTACTTTTAATCGGATTTTAATTTAAATCCGATATCCCGTGTAGGGGTCACATTCTCTAGATCTGAACGTTAAAGAATCCTTGCAACAACTCTCTAAAAGGTCCGTATCTACCTGTTGCAAAGCAAATTACTGTCCCTGTCCAACGTATATCATCAGTCCCTAATTCCCTTCCTTCATCCAGATCTACATACCTTAATGAGCATACTTATTGTATAAATTGTTAATATGTTCTCGCATTTATTATGTATGAAATGTTTGTCATTGGACATAAAGCAAATAACAATCAATCAATCAACTTTTTACAAAACCGGATTTTTTATATCTATCTTTATCACAAGAACTTTCATGTTAATTCAGAAATAATATAATCCGTGTAGTAGTTAATATATATATATATATATGTTTCTTTAAAACCGGAATCATATGCGTTTATAGATGGTTTTTGACTTGTGGTTATTCACTTCTGTTACCTTAATCGCTCGAAGAGTTAAGTTTTATATTGTTCTCGACTCACCAGTTATCTCACTGTAAGATACAGCATATAAAAATCAACCATTTTTCTTTTCTTTTTTTTAAAAGGCGCACAATTCGAAGTCATCGAGATAAAAAAACACAAACAAACAAAAAACAAATATCAGTTAACATTTCACAGTTAACATGAAAGTTTTGTAATTTGAAAATGTGATTAAACGTGCTTTTTTTATTATTTTGTTAACGGTGAATCAAGAGTACTGTTTGATATTCAGATTAGATTAGCTTTTGTCAAATTAAGTAGTTTAATCAACTTAAATACTGTGGCTCCCCTAGCTTATATAGAGTGCATTTCTTTCTAGCACAAACGATGCAAACGACTAAGCGCGCACATGTTTTTATCATTTGTTTCAAACATACGTTTGCAAAGTTTACATAAACTTTGACAAACTATGCACTCGCTAAAAATGCGTCTGTTGTTTGTCGTTTGTCGTTTGTTAGTACAAACGCTACATTTGTTTCTAACTTCAACCTTTAATATACTAAAATCAATCGGGTCCAGGACCAATCCAGTATATCTTATTATAATCCTTCGTAATTCATCCATTTTCTATGTGCATATATTTAGAGTAATTTAGAGCTGGTATAACTCTATGAATGATACATATTTTTTCTTGTGGAATACATTTTTCATAATTCATACTTGCATGCTTGTAGTATGAGACTTATGTGTGTATTTTAAGAATAGAAATTCATATCTGGTATGTGTTTTTATTACCAGTATTACAAAGAGGTGTTTCGGTTATGGTCATGTAGACCTAGGCCTATCCTTATCAAGTATCCCCTATATTTTACCTTTCTTGTAATATTTTAGACTGGTTTGAATTTGATTTCACTTATGGAGATACATCTTTTTACCAACAACACGTGCATGCATTATTGAAAGTTCAAAACAGGGTCAGAAAACACGAATTAAACGATGCATTTTTTTCTTCTTTTGTAGTGTTTAGCAAACGATAACAAACGCCACACAACGTTTACAAAATTTTGGTTAGAAAGAAATGCACTCATAGACTTACTTACGGTTTGAATTGACAGATTTGATTATTCTATGAAGCAGAATAATTAATTAAGCAATAATTTTATTAATCAAGTCTCATTACTGACCATCTGTCAATTCTAACACAAATATTTCCTAACAAATATGTGACATTTTAATACAGTAAATTATTTCATGTGTTACGCAGAAGAGGATCACATTAGAGGGTAATGTATTATATATATATATATATATAATATTTTCTTGACAATAACAAAAAAAATATCTAAATGAGTAGCGAGTCCTATGTCAGAACTAGAATTAAATGAGATGCATAACTTTGTCATTGAACGTCTTTCATGCGTTGTGCATTCATCTACGCGAAAATTTACCTATTTAAGGGAAACTTTGACATGCAAAGCTGGTATTTGACACAATTAAGGAAGAGTTATTATGGTTTTAAAGTAAACATACGTGCTCTTTAGATTTTAACCAAGAACAAGAACGGCATTTTACACTTGATTTTTGTATTAAAGTTCAAATAGCGCTTATAATGCCCTTATAAGGACACTTTTCTAAATTTCATCATAATCTCTAAGATTTCAAAGTTATTTTTATTAGTTTTTGAGAAAATGCTCAAAACGGCATTTTGTGTTTCATCTTGTCCGCTGTCCATCAGCGAGAAACCAAAATAAAATGAGCCTCTCTTTCACAGAACTTCTATTTTTACTTAATCTGTTTACTATAGCATATAATGTTTCATTTCAGAAAAGTTTAAGTTACTGACCATGAGACGTTTTTCCTTCCTTGGTAACGTTTTCGGAAATAGACGCACTTCCATTACGTCAACTTCTAACTTAACTCCTAGACAAACACCCGAATCCCCAGAAATCGATTATCCATTTTCTGACGACGATGATGAAGATTGTAATGGAAGGGGGCATCGGTTCAGTGATGCTAGTGGCAAATTTCGGAATGATGATTTTAATGAGAAACAAGCAAAACGGACAAATGTCGAAATAAATGTTCGACAAAACAATTCAGGAAATGTCCATAATTTACGGAAACAGTTGGAAGAACAAAAAGGACTACACGAACCACACAGTAGAACGTCAAAGAAATCACTTTTGGGAAATCGTAAAGCTTTAGACAATAAAAAATCTAAAGTTACAAGAAGTGAAGAGACTTATACACTTGACCAAGATTATTTAGAGGAACCAAAAAGAAACAAAGTTGATATAGCACACCGTGGCCCCGACCGCCATACCAAACCCATTGCAAAGCAAGGTCTGATTACAGATTCGGAGTCAGACGATGAAATACGTAAAAAGATTGCTATAGCGCTTAACGAAAGAACATTAAATAAACAAAAAGACTCATATAAAAGGAAACGAAATTCTAAGAATGTAAAAATAGAGTTGAACGACAGAGATGACTTGTCCGTCTCAAGTAAAGATGGCTACATCCATGCCAACTGGTTGTATAGAAAACAGGCTACCAACAATGGGGTTCTTCTTCAGGTATCACTGGATGATATGAAATCGCTGTTAACTAATAATCAAACAAGGAAGCAAAATTTAAAAGAAGATTATCTAACTTCTGACACAGATACAATAAATACGAGCAGCAACAATTCTGGTGTGGCTTTACTACCACATGTAAAGAAAAAGAAGAAAGACATAACCACGTCAAAACGATTCTTGCCTTCAGATATGACTGAACGTAATTCAATGGCTTCTACCGATATGTATTTATCGGTTGGTAGTTATGATGCAGAGCGCTTTCTAACATCTAACCGAAGAATGTCTACAACCGAAAAGATGAACGCATATCTTTTGTCTCAAGCAAGAAGCATCAGCGGCAACTATCGTCCTACAAAGGAATATACTGATGAGTTTGATGGGTATGATGCTAACAAAAATATTGCAAACCAACGAAGACATTTTGGCACAGATGGGCGTCATAACGGCATTGAATTGGATGATTGTTGTTTTGCACATGGTCTTTTATGTGATTCTCGATGTTCTGACAATTTATATAAAGATCACCACTCAAGTTTGAATCATTGTAACAACAGTAGTTGTAAAAACTGTGGAACGTGTAACAACAGCAGTTGCAAAAACAGTGGAACTAACATATTCCCAAACATAATTTCTAATCATAGTGGATTTACAAATAACCCAGTATATAATAAAAATCTACCAACAACGGGTACACATTATCTACCATCGAATAACTATGTGAATCAACACTTCCATAGTCAAAATGCTTCATCTCAACATTTTCCAGTAACCACACATGGTAATAGTATGCCTGCACCTATTCAGGGATTATCACACAATGTTGCACAGGTACCGGCATTATTATATAATTTCTCAACAGTGCCCGGATTGTCACAGAATAACACACCAGTAGCTGGACTGCCGCAAAATGTATTTCCCAGCACGGTATTATCCCAGAATATTCATCAGATGACACAACCGGTACATTCTGCTATTGGTCAAATCGTACAGCAACCAAATGATCCAACAAAAACCGACTGTAGCTCAAGAATCACAATAGAACAACCGAATGTAGACAAAGAAGATACAAACAAGGAAAATACGGAAAACAAAGGTGCATTTAAAAGTTTTTAATAACAATAAAGCGTACAAGTTTGAGCTTGCTAAAGTGGATAAGGCTCTATGTAATTTTACAGCCAAGATAAACAGTATCAAGTCATTTGCTCAATAATTGGGCTTATAGAGAACTAACATATATTGGAAGGGTTGTAGTTATTAAAACTTTAGCACTTCCCATTTTGGTTCAAGTTCTGACTGTCCTTCCTAATCCCCCAGAAGGGGTTTTGAAGGAGATTCAGAATATATTTTTCAATTTTTTATGGAAAGGAAAACCTGATAAAGTGAAAAGGGCAGTGATAATGTCAGAACACTGTGGTGGTGGTCTTAAGATGCCTAATTTTATTATTTTTGCTATAGTGTAAAAATGTCTTGGCTGTATAAATTATTAGACCCCCAAAATTACTCTCCTTGGAAAGTCTTGCTACTTAGTTATATACAAAAATTTGGGGGGGACAGAATTTTACACTTTAGTCAAGAGGGATTGCTTTACTTAGCTGAAAAAGTCAATCCCTTTTGGCATGATATCCTGGTAAATTTTTCCATGTTAAAAAATAAGCTAAAAGCTGAAAACAATACTGGAATTCTGGCCCAGTCCATATGGCTGAACCCAAACATCAAAATGGATGGCAAGATGATTTTGAGGTTCAATTATATTGAAAAATGTATATTCTTTATTAATGATCTGATGTCAGATAATAATACATTACTCTCATATGATGAATTTCAAAAAAAGTATGATATCAATACTAATTTTGTAGAGTTTTATGGTATTTTAAGTGCTATTCCAAATAGATGGAAAAGTATAATAGAAGGTAGTTCAAAACTGGATATTATTGAAAATAAATTAATAGATAAAGTTAAAAAGGAACCAAAATATTGTAAATTTTTCTATAAATTATTTTTGGAGGATAATAAAGTGGTATCTTTAACTTCCCGTAATAAATGGGAAATAGATTTAAATATGCAGATTGAAGATTGGAATGCTATTTATTCCATGTCCTTCATTATAACCAGAAATTCTTTTTTAAAAAACTTTCAATTTAAGATTGTTCATAGGATTCTACCATGTAATTCATTTTTATTGAAATGTAAATTAAAAGAAATTGAACTATGTACATTTTGTTCAGAAATTAAAGAAAATATTTTTCACATTTTTTGGGAATGTAATGTAACACAAAACTTCTGGCTATCCGTTATAGGTTGGATTAAAAATTATGGCATTCTCCTGCCTTTCAGTGCAAAAGAAGTCATTTTAGGTGTGTCTGAGGATTTTGTCAACAGTAAAACAGTTAATAATATTTTGTTGTTATTCAAATATTATATATACAAATGAAGATGTAAGAACATATCCCCCACAAAATATGGTGGGATAGAATATTCAAAATATTGGATTAATATAGAAAAATACTCTGTATGTTTCTTAACCCCTGTACAAAAAGTAAAAATTGATCAGAAATGGTATTTGTTAGAAGCAGCTTTTATTTAATTAATTAACAAAATCAACTGTAATATTTATATTTATATCTTATTATATCTTTATGAGTTGGTTGATCTTTCAAGCATTGCTTAATTTTTTATAATGTGTATCTAATACTGTAGTATGTAATTTCACATGTTTCATCATGAAAAATAAAAAAATGACAAAAAAAAAAAAGCGTACAAGTTAAAGTCAGAGAGTACAATCGTAATTCAGTCGTCAGAAAATCAGATATTTATTATCAAAACTGTAAATTCAGTGTAGGTTTGAAAATACATGTGTTTTCTCATAGAAATTCCTGTTCTTGACTTTCTTTACAAAATATGACCTTGTGAAGTGAAATGTATTGCATGAACAATCACCATGGTAAATAATTAATGGTGTTAGTCTTGAATTACACAGTGAAATGAATACTATTAGCCGGAAATACTAAAAATATTTGCATAATGCTTTTTTACAACATATTTAATATTTTCAGGTTTACCGTCAACAACAGACCCAAAGAACACTCATAGTAAAAAAGAACAACAAATGCAGAATGTGGGAAAGCTTCGTCCACTTTCTCTTATACTGACCATTTTAGCAGGGGTAACGATTTTAGCTCTCTTTCTTTTGGATGCTTCTTCTATAATTTCATAATAACTAGACACAATGTCTCTGATATAATGTTCATTTTATTGTTTTCTTAAATGAAATTTTAGAAACTGAGAAAATGTCAGATAGTCAAGTTAAAGAACATTGGCGTTCAATTTCGGCTTTTGACCGGTGCGTTTACACGGTATTATTTTCCTTTCGATTTTCATTCAATTTTTACCCGTGTACCAGCTTTCGGTTATAATCGAACCGTGTGAACGCTAAAGTCGAATGTGAAGTTGAAACGTCGTTTTGAAATCGAATCGTACGCTATTTCCATTCGACGTTTCGACTGTAATCGGATCGTGTGAACGCCAAATTGACTAAATGTATTAGTCGATTGAAAAAATCAAGTTGTTTTTTTTTTAAGTTCATTGCTAAGGCAATTGCAAAAATCGTTTAAAATCGGATGAAAATCCCAATCGTGTGAACAGACCGCTTTTCGATTTACATGTATAGGAAACGACATTGAATCGGATGGAAAATCGGATAGAAAATCCTTTACCTTTACACTTAAAATCGGAATGATATACATTATCTGTATATTTTTCTGAAGTGTTTGTATAGAATGCATGCACGAATATTCTTCATATGGATGTACATTTGTATAGAATGCACGAACAATCGTTATATCATTTGTACAGTCCACTCTATGAGTATACGTGTATTATAGCAACTTTTGGTCCCCATAATGTGTTCCTTCGAATATATTAATCTGAAAATCATTTATAGATTTTTTCAAAGTAACATATCATAACAGATTACCTAGTAAAGTGAATGACTCTAACTTAAAAACGTCACCGAACAGCCTTCAACAACCTTTAACATCCTTTGAATGAAATCTTAATATATATCTTCTTCTATGTTTTAGCTATGTGGCTTTGGAGTGATTGGTGTTGGAGTTTGGAGCATGATAGATGAAGATATTACCATGTACACAGAAGTTATACAAGAAAAGGACAACCAGAACTTCTTATACTTCTGTTATGGGCTGTGTTTCTTGGGCACCTTGTCTACTGTAGCCTTTTTATTTGGCTTTTGTGGTCTCTTAAAGCTGAATCCGTGCTGTTTAAAAGTGGTATGTACATTTGAATCTCCAGAAAATTATTATCAAGAAACTCGTTCTCTTTTAAATATAGACAAAAAGCATTAATGGGTTTCCAAATTCAAAGCTTTTCAACACCTCAATTCAGGGATTATAATGATAAAAAATTCGTTAGGGGTTCCACGGAACCCTGTGTCTCGCCTGCGATTACTGCTGTCCGTGTAAAAGTGTAATGTTGACTTAAAAATGAGTCCATTTATAAGTAAAATACAGAATTTATAAAAAAAAATCAAACTTTTTCTTTATATGCTATTTCTTTGTCTTTAAGATTTAGCTTCTGTCTAAGTTTCATAAAAATACAAGACGGTTCACAAATTTATCATGTCAAAATAATTTAATCCCAGACTGTCTGTAAATTTTAACTGTAAAAAAAAACTAAGTCCATCTATAAGACAAATACTGAAAAAGCTTCTGCCAAAGTTTCAGAAAATTCTACATGTATGAAGGTTTGACAAAGTAATTGATGTGTAACAAACTTTAACCCAAGACTGTATCTACTTGTTAACTGTAATATCAACTAAGTCCATTAACAGTGAAATACGGAAAATGAAACCAAATATATATTTCAATATGTTGCTCTGGATACTGTCTTTTGGTCATAAACAAGCTTCTATCCATATTTCATAAAATTCCATGAAGGTTTGACAAAGTTATTGATGACTGAAAAACTTTAACCTCAGACTAAATCTGAAATTTAATTGTAAAAAAAACTAAGTCCATGTATTAGTAAAATACGGAAAAATGAAAATAAATATTTTAAAATTTTTCCTCTAGATACTATATTTTGGTCATAAACAAGCTTCTATCCAAATTTCTTAATATTCCATTAAGGTTAGACAAAGTTATTGATGTCCAAAAAAACTTTAACCACAGACTGAAACTTAATGTTGACGCCGCCGACGCCGACGACAGAATCTAGGATCGCTATGTCTCGCTTTCGCGACATAAATATCGCAGGCTCGACAAAAAGGAAGATAATTGTGCTTATTTTTATATTTTTATATTGAAAAGATATGAATTTAAACGAAATATAACATTTTACTATTTCTAGCATTGGTCAGCAGAAATTGGCGGCGCTGCTTTGATTGTTGCAATCGTGGCTTTGATTTATTTGAACTTGGACAATCTATACAATATTCCAGTACTGACATTGGTCACAGGAAAGGTAGGTCAAACCTTCTTGATATGATAACCAGAGTATTTCACGTCCAACTAAACTTCTTAATGCCTAGTTTTTTTTAAAGATTGCTTGTTTTTTATATTACCTCTGAGTATTACTAAGAGCACAACGTTTTAATTATGCTTGTTTGTTAAGCTCTATTGGAGAATATACTTAGAGCTCACATTTTAGTTAACTGTTTATTAGATTAACTGTGAATTCTTTGTGACCTATAGTAAATGGTCACAAAGCTTTCAGTCGTCACCCTTTTTTTTCACTTGTTCCATGATTTTATTGGCTTATAATAATTATAACAGTTGTATATGTAGTAAACACATGTTCTATTGTCCATCTTGCAAACAGCAGTTTTAACTTTTGTCTTTGTACACATTGAAATAGTTATGCATTATACTCTCGATTCGATATGCAACAGGCTGTATATCAATGATATTGTTATTGATTATACGTACAAAAATACTGAAAAAGATAACAACCACAAGCAATTGTACAATGAGTGTATTATGAGATCAAGATGTAACGTGCAAAAGAAGACGAAGTCGTTATAACTAGCTTAATCGAATTTCTAATAATAAAATAATTTTGAATCTTTAAAAAAAAAATTTTTTTTTAGTTTACAAGAAGAACAATCGTTGAAAATGTCGAATCTTTTGCTGATTGCGTATATTTCTTAGACTATACATTGGTTTTCATTTTTAATTAGCAATTTAATTTCCGATAGTCTTTTTTGTAATCTTAAGATATTTGAAGAAACAAGGAAAACAGATTCACGATGCCTGCAGTGTTTTTCAGATTCAATATTTTATTATAGTCTCACCACATACAATTACATATATTTACACAATAAAATATTCATACAGGTACGTAAAACAGATAACAAGAAACATTACATTAACATTGTATGTGCCAATCGTAAAAGATTTATGAGAGACTGTACAAGCAATATTTAAATACAGTTTGATATTGAACATATTATATATAATATATATTTCTTTAAAAATATCATTAAAATACAGCATAATCAATGATATAAAAAAAACCATTTCTTCTGATTAAAATGTTATAGCAGGTTCTGGCCACACTTTCAAAATCTTAATCGTTATTGAATAAGAAAATCAGCTTTTCATTATCTGATAAAACGTTAAAATCCACATTAAAATTTGCAGCTTCATAAAACAATATGCATCTAAGATCTTCGTATAGTGGACATTTAAATAAAACATGCAGTTTATCTTCAATACTATTATTACAATAAAATCATGTTCTTTCGTGTATTTCTTTTCTTTCATATCTGCCTGTTTCTATATATTCTAAGGGGAGCAACTCCACATCTAAATTTTGCAAAAGCACTCATAAAATTAGGTGGCAATTTACATTTTAAGCAAGGATTTGTATAGTAAGACTTACTATACAAATCCTTGTTGTAAGTAAGGTTCAGTACAATAATCATATTAAAATAATTCATATGTTCTTAATGTGTTACCTTGAGCAAACGTAGATACTCTATTACTCTAATTTATTTTATTTTTATCAAACATTATTGTTCAATTGGTACAACAATACTCTTATTTAATACATTAGTTTCAAAGTTACAATAGTCTTCAAAATAATGAGTTTTAAACATTTCCATTACCCTAAGTTTCCAATTCTTGATTCTACCTCTAGCTTTCTTCATCGACCATTTGAAAACTTTAAAATTTATTCTATCATGACTCATATATTTGTACATCTTGTCCAGTGTCTAAATACACTTGTCCATTGTTTTACAGATGCTGGTTTCCAACCCATATCTCCATGTATGGCATCACTTGGTGTATATTTACCGACACCCATTAAACATCTTATGACTCTATTTTGGACAGCATTAATCATGAGTAATCACGTGACATATAAAATATAACCTTATAGCACTGACTTATCTTTAACATAAAAGTTTCGAGTATCACAGAAAAAAAAATGATATACGTGTTCATTTCCTAAACAATGTCATTGCCTTCACTAAGCATCTTAATAACGGATATTGTTTTGAATTCTTATAAATTAACAATGTTCGAAAAGTTCACCGAATTCCTATTATCATTTATATTTCCTCTCAAATAATGAAATAATATATAAATAACACATAGCTGAGAGGGCGATAGAGCAGATTGTTACCCCGAGAAAACATGGTCAACCGAGGCGAAGCCTAGGTTGACAATGTTTTTCAAGGGGTACCGATCTGCTCTATCACCCTCTCAGCTATGTGTTATTTAATTTATTATACTGAGTGTTCTATCATTATTGTTTTTTACTATCAAATTTTCAAATTGAAAGAACTTAACTATATGAAGTCATGTACATAACAACGTTACAGTTTATTAGAAAAACAACAGAAGATAAGCAAGATATATTTTTTGATTTTGACAGTCTATGAAAAAGTTCTTAGGCCAAAACGTAGAACTTGAGCATTGTCTTAAATAGTAGATGTAAATTCAATTCATTGTCTTTTAAATTATCGATTTTTGATTGGTCTGCACGAGAGGGTGACATTCAAAAATTGTCTCCCGCTGAGCCATGGTATAGAGTAAATTATCTCCCTCGTATTAGCCAATCAAAATCATGCATTTTAACGTGAAATATAATAACATTTGTTTTAGGTAGAAACAAACCTAGCCAAGTTTTTAAAGGAATCGCTGATGAACAATTACTTAGATGGATCACCTACAGCCTTATCCTGGAACAGACTGCAAATCGAGGTAGAAATGTCTTGTATTAAGCTATTGCCGAAATCAATACAAGCATTTCAGGTACAGAACAGCAACAGCACATATTTTTCGGGTTGCTTGGTTGCTACAACACATCGTCTCAGTTGTTTGGTCGAGCCGATATATCTCTCGGTTGATTAATTGATACAGCACATCTATAGGTTGCTAGGTTGATACAACACATCTCCTCAGTTGCTTGGTTGATACAACACATCTCCTCAGTTGCTTGGTTGATACAACACATCTCCTCAGTTGCTTGGTTGATACAACACATCTTCCTAGTTGCTTGGTCGAGCCGATATCTCTCTCGGTTGCTTGGTTGATACAACACATCTCCTCATCAGTTGCTTGGTTGATACAACACATCTTCTCAGTTGCTTGGTAGATCCGATATATCTCTCGGTTGATTAATTGATACAGCACATCTCCTATAGGTTGCTTGGTTGATACAACACATCTTCTCAGTTGCTTGGTTGTTACAACACATCTTCTCAGTTGCTTGGTCGACCCGATACATCTCTCGGTTGATTAATTGATACAGCACATCTATAGGTTGCTTGGTTGATACAACACATCTTTTCGGTTGCTTAATTGATACAATTAATATTTTAATCTTTTCCGTTGCTTGATTGTTACAACACATCTTTCGGTTTCTTAGTTGATACAGCACTTCTTCTCGGTTGCTTGGATACACCTAATATTTTCGGTTGCTTGGTTGATGCAATTCATCTTTACAGTTGCTTAGTTACAACTCATCCTTTACATATTTTCGGTTCTTTAGTTGTTGCAACACATCTTTTCGGTTGATCGGTCGATACAACACATCTTTTCGGTTGATACAACACATCTTTTCGGTTGATCGGTTGATACAGCACATCTTTTCAGCTTCTTGCATGGTTGATACAGCGTATATTTTCGGTCGCTTGGTTGCTACAACACACCTTTCGTTAGCTTGGTTGTAAACATTACATACGTAAACCAAGCATAAAAACAGAATTAAGATAGTTCCTCACCAGCAAGCGCAGGTCAATGATATTCAGTTTTAACAGAGCATGGACCCCTTAATTGGTTCGATATTTCTGTTGGTAGACTGTGAGTCCGCCCAGTAGCCAGTTCTGTGCATATTGTTTTATCAAATATTGTCGTTATAAAATTTTGGAAATCATTTGAATCAAGAAATGTATCGCTCTCTCATGCATGGCTCTGTCCGCGTGTTTTGGGCTTTACCTTTGGTTCTTTTTAGTTTTATCAGCTCTTTAAAATTTGTATTAGATTTTGGGTTGTCAAATAAAACGGCCTAGAACATCACTGAAGAGACATTAATAGTCGTAATGCGCATCTATTGCAGTAAAATTGGCATCATTAATGGTTTTCTTTACCTTTATTAACGAAGGAAAATGTTATGCCTATTTATGTCATGATTATAACGAACATTAGAAGTTTTAAGTTGTTTTGTTTTTTGCAATTTTATAGGGAACATGCAATTTGTGATCAATAATTATCTGAACAGACACCTAATTAGGTCGCATACTTCTTTAGGTCGTGGAGTGCTGTTTGAAAATAAACCTTATTGTTACGTTTCACATTTAAACATACGCTGAAGTTTTGTAATTTCTTATGCAATAAAAAGAAAATATTATAATATTAAATATTCATGGACTACTTCGTTTCAACAGAAGAGCTGTTGTGGCATCAAGGGCAAAGAGGACTATGCGTACAGTGCTTGGACTAATAATTCTAGGACGTTTCCAAAGGTACATGTATTTTTATACTCTTCAAATACTAGATAATAAAACTACATTAAATTCCCTGAATAATTAATAAACATCACATAAAACAAATCATGCAGATAATAGAAAATAACACTTATGCTACTTAAAATGACCTAGAAATGATCATACCACATCTTATTTTTATATTGAAAATTTTAATGCACGAACAAATATACAGAGCAATTAAATAGACTACAGCTTGTTCATTCAAACAACTGTTTGACTGTTGACTTTTTATAACAATTAAAGAAAATTCTGCTGAATATATTTTTTTTTTGTGGGGAAGCCAAGACATTTTCCTGTTTTGGAATATTTCTATATCAAACATCGTGATGAATAATAATTATTATAGAAAAAGAATTCAACTAAGTTACACACAAACTTGTACAACTGTTTACCAATTTTCTCCCAACTGGTCAATTTTATATATAAACTCTAATAGTTGGTTTAAAAACATAAAAGTTGTTGAAAACCAAATTAATGAGGAGGATCTAGAGTAAAGTCAACTAAAGCATGTTGTTTCACCTAAGCAATATCAATTTTAATGTCTCTTAACTAAATTGTTAAAAAAGATGTAGTTCAAATTCAAGTCAAACCAACATGTTGCAAGGAAATCAGCTCACACTTAATTGTATAACAGTTGATACAACTGTTGATGCAAATACTATTTGACTAATCACTTGAAAATCGTGTAGAAATGAAACGTGTTATATTGGTATTTTTGTAGAACCGATTTTGACAATATTTGGTTCCTCTTGAATATGCATGAAATTATGATCGCTGCATTTACAATTTTGGAAATTAATTTTTGACAGTAATGATCACATTTATTTTACTTTTGTTGAAATATTAACATACAATCAAGATAATTTGAATTAATTCTTAATCAAATTTGAGTTCAAGGTTAGTGAAAAAAAGAATCTTGTAGAATTTTATAGTGTTTGATCAAATTTTAATATGTGCTATTTTAACTCCAGAAAAAGTTTCCGAACAGTTGTTGTGTTGTTAAAGAAAAAAACTATGTTGACCCACAGCCAACAAATACAATGCTGTGTCATTTGCAGACCAGTGGATTTTACCACCAAAAGGTATAGAATGAAAAACTGTTTTGTCTTGTCTCAATCTCATACCTGTTCAATGTTGAAGTTTATCAAGTCCAGTCTTCAGTGCAATGTTATTTTACCATATTAAGAACTATTCTGTACTCCGACCAAATTATCTAATATCTCCTCTAGAAAATCACCAGTAGTGCACTCTAAGAGCTTCTAATGACTTACGTATGTGTTTTATTTTGATAATGAACACCAGATATTTAATATGGCATGTGTAATTTCCTGTCTTAAATGACTTAAAACATAAAGAAGAAGCTTTTCGCAAGAAGATATAGACTTTCTGAACACGATTAACTTTTGGTGAGAGTGGAATAGGAAGCTTTACTTTTGATGAAAGCACAACAGTATAAGTGACCTCTAGTGAGAGTACAAGAGGGAGAATGGCCTCTAGTGAGAGTACAAGAGGGTGAATGACCTCTAGTGAGAGTAAAAGTGGATTATTGTCCTCTGGTGAGAGTACAAGAGAATGGTTGACCTTTGTTTGGATTGTAAGAGGATGACCGACCTCTGGTGATAGAAGAGGGCGATTGGCCTTTGGTGAGAGTACACCAGCATGGATGACGTCTGGTGAGAGTGGTTATAGAAGAAGTGACCTCTGGTGAGAGTGTTTATAAAAGGAGTTATTAAGAGCAAGAAAATACTTGGAAAATATCATTTTGTTATTTTTTATAGGGTTGTCTAGAAATGGTGATGATTTGGTATAAAGAAAATAGCCTGATTACACTTGGAGTTTTAGGAGGACTATTTTTAGTTGAGGTATGACAACACAAATTGTATTAATTTCAGAAAATTATGCATGATGGGAAATATAAAGCTGAAAAGCACTGTTATCTAACAAGTGATTTCCAGAAAATTGAAATTTGGAAAATACATGTTTTTTTTAAATGTTCTAATTGCTTATTTCATGGATTTTACCTTGTTTTTAAATAAAAGCACTTATCTGTGCACTTAATGGTTTTCAATCAATAAATTATACTTGAAGAAGACTCTAATTTTTATTACCCTATATACTTCACTGATAAAATCATATAGCAACAGCAAAACTTAACTGGCTGTTTTTGTGGTATAAATGACATATTTTAACGTTGATGTTTGACTATTGTGCTGTATGTGTTTGGCCATGCACAAAACATGAATAGCAGTTTTGATATATATCAGGAAAATTATGAATATATGTGTGCTCATAAAAATAGAATTGACATCTTAATCAAAAATAGGATTTTATTGTTTTTTTTGTTTAAATCCAAAAATTAACTTTAAAAATTCGTAAGGGTTCCGCGGAACCCAGTGTCTCGCCTACTTTTTCTGTTAATCGCAGGCTCAACAAAAATGAGGAAGTAAATCAATAAAAATATTCCTCTTGATACTATCTTTTGATTGTAAGAAGCTTCTGTCCAAGTTTGATAAAATTCCAGGGTAGTTTATGAATCTAATAAATGTTTAAAAACTTTAACTGCAGACTGAATGTAATGTTAACTGGAAGAAAACAAAATTTCCTTCTAGATACTAGCATTTGATCATAAACAAGCTTCTGTTCAAGTTTGGTACAAATCCAAAATAGTATAAGAAAGTTATTAAAATTTTAAAAACTTTAACCACAGAGTGAATATGTTGTTTCCTGGCAGAAAATCTAAGTCCATTTAAAAGTAAAATAAGGAAAAAATGGAATTTTATTTTTTTATAAAATTTACTTCTAGATACTATCTTATGATCATAAACAAGCTTCTGTCCAAGTTTGGTACAAACCCAGGATAGTTTAAGAAAGTTATTAAAATTTTAAGAACTTTAACCACAGAGTGAATGTAATATTTACCGGCAGAAAAACTAAGTCCATTTATAAATAATTTAATTTTGGATGTAACACGTCTTCTGATTGGCTGAGAGAATTTTGTTTATCAGCTCATAGACATAATTTTGTCATGTGACCATTACGTCATCAACGTTTTTATCATGATTTACTCCTTACAAATGGAATTTAGAATTAAATTATAAGGAATGATTGTAATATGTTTTCCGTCTATTCGAAATAACATAAAAAATGTGGTGCACACTGTTAAATAACCCGCTACGCGCGTTATTCAGTGTGCAGCACATCTTTTTATGTTATTTCTTCATAGACAGAAAAAATATTAGTCATTCCTTAAGTAAAATACGGAAAAAATGGAATTTTATTTTTACAAAATTTACTTCTGGATACTATCTTATGATCATAAACAAGCTTCTGTCCAAGTTTGGTAGAAATCCAGGATAGTTTAAGAAGGTTATTAAAATTTCAAAAACTTTAACCACAGAGTGAATATTTGTGGACGCCGCCGACGACAACGACGACGACGACGCCGACGGAATGTAGGATCGCTATGTCTCGCTTTTTCGACTAAAGTCGAAGGCTCGACAAAAATGTTAAGATATAACAATTGTTTAGAACAGGACCAATTGCTTTCCTGGCCTCGGTAATTTATATGCAAAAATCTCTATAGATAGATAAGTTCAAATCCACATTATTTGTTTTTTCATTGAATTTACTTATCATTAATAAAAGCAACAGTACACATAAATGAACTTGAATTGTTCAAAAATATCTAAAATCAGAAAAACTATTAAATTATCCTGGGACCAATATAATTTATATAAAGGTATCATGTATTAGTTCCAGAATTATCCTATAGTAAATGTTCATTTGCAAAGCGTGGATCCTGCAAAGAGAGTAATGTTGCCTTGCGTTGTAGTTGGATCACAAAAAGGGTGCATATCCGTAAAATTAATGTTTGTCCCTTTTTTTATTTGAAATGTTGTGTAAAATTTTGACCATTGTACTGGCAAATGCTGAAAAATTATTTACCGTGTTATCCATTGAAGCAGAAAGCGAATCATATACTAATTTGTGTGGGTAAAAACATAATGTGACATATCAATGTTACCAATGTATTGCATAAACCTAAATCTTCCAAATCTCTCTTATACTGTCACTTTAGAGGTCATTCAAAATATGTCATCGAAGCATAAGTAAACTTATATTTAGTGAAATAAAAAAAGTATCAGTAAAATGGCAGTTGTTTTATTTTTGGTGAATTGAACAAATAATCCATTAAATGTACAAGGAATTGTAGGCCATGGAAATGTTGACAGGAAATGCTGTATTTGTTTTAATTTGTAGATTGCTTGTTTTCTGTTAGCCTTCAAGATATCTAGAAGTATTGTGCTAGACCGAACATGAGAGAAACCAACAACCATATGATGGAGTAACTACATTTGTCATCGAGAACTGCAAAATACTGATAGTTCAGTCTAGTATAGAGTACTGAGGAGAGGAAACAGAGTAGGCAGATCAAGGTGGAATATGCTAAGAAAGTGATTGCAAACTGAAATAAAATATGATGATTCCTGCTTTTTTGTTCTTTTTACATAAACTAGTGTACTCCTGATAACGTGTAGAATTTTAATGTGGATACTTGCAGGCACATTCCAGAATCAAACAAGAAATATGCTTGTAAAGAACCATTATTCCTTTATGTATGTAGACACGTAATGTTAGGGCCCATTGAAAGGTAACTCCACAGGTCTCCTGGGAAAAGCCATGTGTAAACAAGCCGTGATGTAGTAACATCAAACCAACAATTTGGGATATATGAATAACAACATATTCCTAAATTTGCAAAGAAGAGACTCCTTCATTTAACTTTGATATGTTGTAATGTATTACGTGTATTGGGATTTACAAAATGTGCTCTAGCCCATGCACCAAAACATACCAAAGTCTGTACTAATGATCGAAGGGGCCATCTGAGGACAATCTAGTACAAGTTGGTCCATTCAATAAATACCTTTTCATATTTCAAGTTTATACTTTGATAAGCAGACAAAATAGCTGACAATCAGTTTACACAACTCAACTCCTAACAAATTCCGTATAGAAATTGCTTCTCAATGATGATTTTTGTTCTTTTTTTGTTATATCTTAAATGATAAAAACTTAATTAGCAAAAATGATTAGCAAGAGAACATCTACAAGATAAACTGTTATCACAGAGATATGTCTCGCCTTTTTGTAATTTTGATTATGCAAATGTTGAAATTAAAATAGCAATATTTTAACATGTTACATAAGTTATGCAAATATTCAGTCAATAAACCATGACTGAGGTACATGGCTAAACAATCTTCATGTAAATGAGATGTGCCAATGCTAAAACAACTGCATACCAAATATCATTGACTTATTATAAGATGTTCCCTTTAAACAAACCGAAAATACAAACATTAAATTGTAACCTATGTAAACATTTCATAGTCAATGAACCATGAAAAGAGGGTGGGGCTATATAATCTCCACGGAAACGATACTTAACAGGCTATTATTTCAACTTGGAATTATTTTTAATTATGGAATTTGCATAATTTCTTGTGCTTGAAAATTTTAATAAATTCCATGTTTATTCTGTATTTTAATGTTCTGTGCGGCGTACAACACTTACTATTACAAAGAAGAATGCACATTTTCAATAGAATGTACTGTGCGGCGCACAACACTATCTATACAAAATACATTGTATGGAAAGTGTTATGCACTGCTCAAAACATTATAATACAGAATAAACATGGAATTTATTAAAAATTTCAAGCACAAGAAATTATGCAAATTCCATAATTAAAAATAACTCTAAGTTGAAATAATAGCCTGTTCCTTGCAAATGCCAATAAATGTGCATACCAAATATCATCGACTTAACATTAGCAGTTCATCTTAAACTGATCTAATCACAATGAAATGTGCTGATGCTTAAACAACTGAATACCAATTCACATTGGCCTACCACTAATGGTTCCCCTTGAACTGACCTAATCACAAACTAATACATGTAAACTAAGCAAAATTTTCAAAGTCAATAGACCATGACTGAGCTGGGTGGGGCCAAATATTCTCCATGGAAATGAGATGTGCTGATGCTTAAACAACTGAATACCAATTAACATTGGCCTACCACTAATGGTTCCCTTTGAACTGACCTAATCACAAACTAATACATGTTAACTAAGCTACATTTTCAAAGTCAATAGACCATGACTAAGGGGGCGGAGCCAAATAATCTTCATGGAAATGAGATATGCCAATGCTTATACAACTGCATACCAAATATCATTGACCCACCACTAGTGGTTCCCCATAAACTGACCTACGGTAATCACAAACTAATACATGTAAAATAAGCAAAAGTTTCAAAGTCAATAGACCATGACTGAGGGGGCAGGGCCAAATAATCTCCATGGAAATGAGATGTGCCAATGCTAATACAACTGCATACCAAATATGATAGACCTACCACTTGTGGTTCACCATAAACTAGACCTAATCACAAACTAATACATTGTAGATGCTGACGCCATCAAGGCGAGACAAAAATCATCAATTCACTTGTTTTAAGGATTATTGTCTCAACTTTAAGCTGTTTGTCTTGTTTTTTCGTGTGCTCCTTTCATGAAAAGTATTATACCTAGAGAGAAACTAAAATAAACTAAAACTGATCAGCTAGGTCAGATCTACAAATAAGTTACGGTAATATAACCTAAATTGTAAAGAGCAAACATGATTGGCAAGAGAATATCTACAAGAAACCATAAATTCACTGCTTTCAAGGATATTTGTCTGAAATAACTACCATTTAAAATGCCTATAGTTTATTATTTGGAGAGGACCTTTTCAAATAAAACTCCAGCCAAGTTTGGTTACCGGTAATTGCTTTCACAGAGGCAGATAAAAACATGAATTCCCTTAGGGTCTTTATTGGAACTATGCCCCAAGAATGCCATCATGTTTGCAACTTGAGCATTAGTTTCCAAAAATAAGATTTTTGAAAATTGGCCAGTCAGAATAAAAGATTTCATCTGATTGCCATATATTTTATTTTATCAAATTAGAACAAAATGATTAATATTTATAAAGACCTTTCATACATTATTCTTGCAAAGTTTGGTTCAAAAATGGTCTGGCAGTGACAGAAGACAATGTAGATGCAAATAATCTGAAAATGAATGGACACAAAGTGATGACAATAGCTTGGCCAAGTGAGCTAAAAATCATAAACATATAGAAATACAACAACTGGATGAAATAATGGAGTGCTACTTCTGTTTTCAGGTTCAGCATACCTTCAAACACAAATATTGCAAAATCTATAGTTTTAGCTTTTTTCAGACATTGTGATTTCAATTTTTAAACAGTTTTTGTGTGTTCAAAGTGCTTTTTGATGTCCAGCATCCTAGAAGTAAAACAAAACACAATAAAAAGTTGTCTTCACTGCTGCTTCATTCATGGGACTGCCACTTAGGACGAAAGAGAACAAACTTCCAGACAGGGGTGGGGAAACATCATCATGGCTTCATTAGCAATAGCTATTATCAAGGCAATTGCCAGAAATATCAAACTGTGTTCTAAAACTAGAGGCTCTAAAGAGCCTGTGTCGCTCACCTTGGTCTATGTGCATATTAAACAAAGGACACAGATGGATTCATGACAAAATTGTGTTTTGGTGATGGTGATGTTTTTGTAGGTCTTACTTTACTGAACATTCTTGCTACTTACAATTATCTCTATCTATAATGAACTTGGCCCAGTAGTTACAGTGGAAAATATTTTGTAAAAATTTACAAAAATTTACAAAATTTATGAAAATTGTAAAAAATTTACTATAAAGGGCAATAACTCCTTAAGGGGTCAATTGACAATTTTGGTCATGTTGACTTATTTGTAGATCTAACTTTGCTGTACATTATTGCTGTTTACAGTTTATCTCTATCTATAATAATATTCAAGATAATAACCAAAAGCTGCAAAATTTTCTTAAAATTACCAATTCAGGGGCAGCAACCCAACAACTTGTTGTCTGATTGGTCTGAAAATTTCAGGGCAGATAGATCTTGACCTAATGAACAATTATATCCTCGTCAGATTTGCTCTAAATGCTTTGGTTTCAGAGATATAAGCCAAAAACTGCCTTTTACCCTATGTACTATTTTTTAGCCATGTCGGCCATCTTGGTTCGCGGGCGGGGTCATCGGACACATTTTTAAACTAGATACCCTAATGATGATTGTGGAAAGTTTGGTTAAATTTGTCTTAGTAGTTTCAGAGGAGAAGATTTTTGTAAAAGATTAAAAAAATTTACGAAAAATGGTTAAAAATTTACTATAAAGGGCAATAACTCCTTAAGGGGTCAACTGACCATTTTGGTCAAGTTGACTTATTTGTAGATCTAACTTTGCTGTACATTATTGCTGTTTACAGTTTATCGCTATCTATAATAATATTCAAGATAATAACCAAAAACGACAAAATTTCCTTAAAATTACCAATTCAGGGGCAGCAACCCAACAACAAGTTGTCCAATTCATCTGAAAATTTCTGGGCATATAGATCTTGACCTGATAAACAATTTTATCCCATGTCAGATTTGCTCTTAATGCTTTGGTTTCAGAGATATAAGCCAAAATCTACATTTTACCCCTATGTTCTATTTTTAGCCATGGCGGCCATCTTGGTTGCTTGGCCGGGTCACCGGACACATTTTTTAAACTAGATACCCAATGATGATTGTGGCCAAGTTTGGTTAAATTTGGCCAAGTAGTTTCAGAATAGAAGATTTTTGTAAAAGTTAACGGACGACGACGGACGATGGATGCCAAGTGATGAGAAAAGCTCACTTGGCCCTTTGGGCCAGGTGAGCTAAAAAGGAAAACAAAATAAACTTCAAGATTTATTTAAATTGTATAACAACTACTGTAAAAATAACAATAAATAAGATACAGTTTCTAATGAGTTGGTCAGATTCATAGGGCATGTTACATAAATATTATGCACTGCAATAGGATTATTTCTGGAACTTTTGAGTATTAAAACAATATAAAATCAGAAAACTGTACCATAAAATATACAAGAACTACATTTCAAAATGCAATATAATATAGCACGTTTGATTTTTAATTGCATGGATAACTTCAGTTTTCAAGCCCATCAAATTAGCTGCTTAATATTCGTATTAATCTTAATAACATTCTGAGAAATAAGCTGGTCATTCTGTCCATAATCACAATGCAAACCAAAAATGCAGTAAGTTCTTTATCTTTATTATAACAAACTAATTTATTTTGATGAAATGCCCTCAACTTGAAGAGTCAATCATGATTTTACTTTTAGTCTGTTACAAGAACAAAATTCAAACTTGTAACATTTAATCTCACCATTCATGAACTATAGAATCTAAATATGTAGAAAAGTATGACTGAAAATATTGTGGAAAAAAAACCACCAGGAACAATTTAGTTCTTAAGCTATTTATATTCCAATCTTCATAAAAAAAAATTTAAAAAAAATATCCTATTATTATTTGGAATGTCAAAGCTACATAAATTACATGAACACATTATAACTTTTGCGAAAAAAGAAAAAAAAAACATGTGAGTTTTCTACAGAGATACAATCTATGAATAACACATACTTTTAACTTTAAACCTATCTATATATATGAAAGTTAAAACAAGACCTACAATTATTTTGAAACAACCTTTTTAAGAATGAAGAATAATCAATTTACAAAATAACAAGAATGTGTCCATAGTACACAGATGCCCCACTCGCACTATCATTTTCTATGTTTAGTGGACCATAAAATTGGGGTCAAAACGCTAATTTGGCATTAAAATTAAAAAGATCATATCATAGGGAACATGTGTACTAAGTTTCAAGTTGATTGGACTTCAACTTCATCAAAAACTACCTTGACCAAAAACTTTAACCTGAAGCAGGACAGACGGACGGACAGACAGACGAACTAACGAACGAACAGATGCACAGACCGAAACACATAATGCCCCTAGGTGGAGCATAAAAATATATTCTATGGTGATATCTCATAACGACAAAAAATTTAATAATCTAAAACACAAGTGGCAATGCCACTCTAAACTAATTCATAAAATTCATAGTATCAACCCAAACATTAAAATTACATTCATGGAATTCAATATTTTATCACATTTTTTTCTAATAATGAAATAGGTATAAGAAATCTCAAATTGCAGGTAAAATTTGAACATCAAAAGAAAACTGACAGCAGACAGAGCAACTGTAAATAAGGTTATGGATTTAAAAGAGAAATAGTATGTTTTATAAGCCTTAATTGATTATTTGAAAATAACCTTAGGGCTATTCCATTAAAACATGGAGAGGATGATACCCAGGGAAGGTGCTTTAAAAATGGGATAACCCATCTATAAAAGCAATTTAAAATTTCTTTTACAGTTTTATTGTACAAAAACACATACCCATAGATGAAATGTCAATGTGCCTTCCTTGGGTCCCATCCACTCCAATGTAATTAAGTCTGTAAATTGTGATGCAGTTTCAAAATCAGCACTATTCCATTTGAACATAGCATTAATCTGCAATCTGGGAAGCAGTAATCTAATTGATAGATCAATAATTCATCCCCAAACTGCAAGGGTTTTAAAGTTATAGAATGGAAGTGATTTTTGTTCATATACACAGGGGTAGCTAAGTTGAACTAAGTATTTTACCATGACTTTCAACTTACTATGTTTGTCCTTACATGTAACACACCATCTACTACATTTACTAGTAATGAAAAACATACAAAGATTCATTAACCAACTCCAAGAAGGCTTTTAAGTAGGAGAGGGGAAATAATTTTTGTACCTAGACACATGAGTGGCTAACTTTTTATCATGAATTTCAATATCAATGAAGTTTTTTCCTTCCTTGCAACTCATCTTGAGTAGTGTTGAATAATCAAGCCAAGTGCCTTTACCAAACTCCAAATGATTTGTGATCACAGAAGGACAGACAGACAAGCTGATTACTATTGGCCTTCCGTCAAATAATTGACAGGGCTTTAAGGAACAGATGAGCATTACATTTCAACAAATACATATTCCTGCATTAAAATGATGAAATTACAACAATGAAGATGCATAAAGAAATAAGATGATTGGTCCCAAAATGGTAAATAAATGTTTCCTGTAAATATAAAAAAATATTCCAATACTTTAACATTTAGTAACATCAATGTTAAAATATAATGCTTAAAGAGAACAAAATCAACAGGCCACACCTTTATATTGCCCTATCTACTGTTGACAAATTATGGAAGCTGGGGAGAAATTGTTTTCACTCAAAACATGCTAGATTTTTGTACTTTGGAGGTTCATATTATCTAAATCAATTAAGAGAGCTATAAAATTTAAATTTAATTAGCCAAGTGGCAATACAGATTGGTTTTCTTAGAGTTGGTAAAAGCTTACAAAGCCCTTATGGCATTTTGACATTGCAAAGCAATAATCTGACAGATAGTGCACACTAATGCTTTTTGATAACTTAATCTTGATCAATTGGAAGTAATAGATGACAGCTTTATAGTCAAAGAAAAAAGACAAACAACTGATTGATCAACTCAAACCAAATCAAATTATTATAGGTCATTACTCTGGTGCTCCAAAAGGGTTAGAAGCTCTCCTCAATTAGTGAAGATTGTTGTTACACATTTTTGTTAACAAAAAATACTAGCATATTTATCTAAAATAAAATGGACGGATGAAATGTATGCAAAATTAAATGCCAGAATGACTAGAAATTAGAGAAAAATTAGAGATAACAAATAATAAAAATAACACAACAATATAAAAAATAACCAATAAGGCCACAGTAAAGAATATCATTAAATATTGCAAAAAAATAAGGTGAAATATAATTAAACCAATAATCATCATGGTATGGTGCAGTGGTCCTAAATATTTAAAATTGTTAATAGACATTAGTATGTTCAAACAAAATGTACTGTAAGCAAGATTAATAACCCTTCCTTACAAAATCTGCTTTGCTATGAGAAAAAAATAAAAAAAACTTATATTTAAGCAAACAAGAGGAGAAACACAATAATCTACTGTCAGAAAAGTTTCATCAACTTTTTTCCACTGATTCAGCAGTCGTGCAATGTGTGCAAATTAATCCCCATAATATACTTTAATAACAATCTGTGATATAGTTCAGAGGTAAAAATGGAGTGTTTGAATTAATGCTGATTGAAACACAATATACAGTGTGAAAAAATCAATACCTTTAAAATGAAAAATCAAATTAAAATATAAAAATTAGGAGATGTGGTATGATTGTGAGACAATAATCCACAAAAGAACTAATGACTAAGATGTTAACAACAACTTATGCACATGATAAGATAAAAGTAAACAAGTTCTGGTGAAATATTTTTTCTGTCAAAAGAAACAAAAACATTTGAGAAATGGCGCAAAAATTTAATATGAGCACCATGATCCATGCAATTTTTGTAATAAAAAGAATCAAACAAGATCCCATACAATAATCACAAAAATATCAGAGGAGGAAAAGTACAATAAGTTTAAGTACTACACAAAAAACAACTAAACAGTTAAATGATTGAGACCAATATTAGTATCACACACTTAATTTCAGTGAGATGTTTATCACATGGTTTTATTAATGCAAAATAAAGAAATTGGAAAAAAAAATGCATTAATCAGAAAATTAATTTTAAAAATCAACAGACATGTATCTCTGCTAAAATATGCAGGAACATATATTTCTTTTTAAATATCTAACAATGACTAAAAAATGTGAATTTCCATTCACAGGTTCGCTCATATAAATTATTTAACTAACAGTTATAAATTAATTCTGAATAGTCTCATAATCAAATACTTGAAAATTTAAAAAACTGTGTTTTTGTATATGATGTTATGTTTAATATATATAAAACGAGTTGTGGAGTAAACTTCAATTGTTTCTCTGTAAATTTTAGCACTAGATGTGGAAAAAGATTAATATCCTTTCTCTACAATGTGTTGAATCTTATTTTCCTCTTTCTTGACCTCTTGAGTATGGATATCAAAAAGTTTTGCGTAGATGTAAACACAAAAATATCCCATATACACAGAGCCAAAACAAATAAATCAATGAAGCCATCTGAATGTTCTTCAACAAATGAGAATGAACTAAAATATACCAAACCCTGAAGAAGAATGCATAAAAATTACAGCAAAACAAGCAAAAGAAATATATCAAATACCAAATACAAAATCAATAATAATAAAACAAATAAAAAATAATCAAGAATATCATATATCTGGCTTTAATCTTAAACAATCAAATGTGACTGGGCTAAATAAGCTTAAATCAATACCATGTTCCTTTTTCAAATGTAACTGGCCATCAACAGAAAAAACTTCCTTTTTCAAATGTAACTGGCCATCAACAGAAAAAACTTCATTTTTCAAATGTAACTGGCCATCAACAGAAAAAACAAGTGACAAAACCAAAAAGTTGGCTGCCATTTATACAGACCAGGAGTAGTAAGAATATAACATTACTTCTGGAAAATAAGTAGGTCAGTAATGTGCTATGACTTTTTAATAAGAGTTGAAGAACTCAATCTGCAATCATGGTCACTTTTTGGTCATTCAAAGTTGAAAAACTAAGGAATATAAAATCAAACTGAGTTTTCAAACACTGAAGAGCTAAGAACAATCATACCACACATTGTTTGGTGATACAAATTTTTCCAATTTAACAAATTATGGGTGACAATAGTTATTATCTACAAAAACTAAAGAAAACTTAACAAATGTACAATGCCCCAATTAGTTCATCAGTTATTATACTAATTTGTCTCCAACATTCTCTTCCTTTCTTATACCTAATTCCAATTTTAAGAATGTAGGAACATAGGTGTTATAAACTTAAAAGGATACAACAAAATATCTTCAGCTTGTTTGATTATTGAAAATGAAATAATTGAGACAATTGCATGGCATTTTTTCAATTTTGAGACATAAGAGTAACTTAGCTCACTTTCCAACTGTGCAATTTAATCTTAAATAAGCTTGTTACTAAAAATTGACAATAATGAAAGTAATAAAAACACCTGCATAGACAATATATTACTCAACATAATATACTTCAGCTTATTCCATTAATAGACTACTATTTCTTCACATGACCATAATATTACACACATCAATTTATGTTTTAAACTTGTACAATATAAATTCTAATCTAAAAATTTATACTTCAAATTCTTATAAAAGTCTCAGTTTCTACATGTTAGGATTTCTATAGAAAAAAATAGCTTACTATTAAAAATTTGCATTACAGAGTAATTCTGATTTGATATAAAACTCTCCCAATAACCAAGTATTGCCACTATCTAAGGATAAAACTAAACCATTAAATACACTATCATTTATCTCTTGCAGATCTCATCACACTGACAATCCAATGACATAGAATGATGGGTGTATCTTCAGGGAATAGACATAGTTCATTTTCTGTAGAAGCTATAGCCTTCAGATGAGTAGGTTTCACCTTTCCAGGATGAATCAGCGGTACAAATTTAGTCAGTTCATATGAACCAAAGTCCTGAAATACTATCTTTTTCTTATACTCCTGAAAAGTAAATAAAAGTTAAAAAAGTAACATTTCTGTTTACAAAAACCTGTTTAAATTTTATTAGATTTTTTTCATTTACTGTGCCTTGAATTTCTATTCTTTTTTTTTTAACCAAAAAAAATTATTTGCTGTACCCTGATTTCTATTTTCTATAACTATTGCTATGTCAATTAATCTGTGGGAACATCAGACATAATTTTAAAGATAAATACTCCCAAGTATGATTGTGGATATTTGGTTCCAATTGGCTCAATGATATCAAAACAGAATGTTTGTTGGAAAGTAAGAAGAGGCAGTGTCAAGTGATGGCAATAGCTCATACTGGGCATTCAGGTAAAGTAAGCTTAAAAACATAATTAGCTCTGACATCTGACTTGAAGGGTTAATATGAACTACTGCCATCACTTGGCATCATCCTCCACTAACTAAAATCAGAAACTGATGACTTTTCAATAATATCACATTTAATTTTTATCTCTTTGATTAAAGTTGAAGTTGAGATTATTTCTTACAAGTAACATATGAAGAAGTCGTCTCTGCAAAGTAAACAGGCAAATTTTCAACCAAAATGTCAATAGCTGATGAGAGCTGCACAATAAGTCCTTATATTCTCTCTTACTAAGTTCATCTGAATATAAAGTAATTATATTCTATGGCCTCACGCCCTATGCGACACATGGCGCTAACAGGAGTTGTAAGTTGTAAGTATATTCTATGGCCTAGACAAACGTATGGAAAAAGTGTCCATGGGACACAGATGATGCCCCCAATTCCATATAAAGTTATAAAGGGACATAACTCAAGAACGGTAAAAGTGATGCAACCCAAAATCGAACCTGATCTGGGTTTTGTGGTAATAAGCATTGTGTATAAGTTTCATAACATTTGGTTGAGAACGGAAACCAATTTTGGGACGTACAGACATATGCTCATTAAATTATGAGTGAATAAACGTATATTTTCTTGATGCTGAGGGGCTTCTGTGGCCATGTGGTCTAAGTAGTTACTACTGTAATCTCTAGCCAGTCAACACTGAGGTTGTGAGTTCAAACCCCGCTCGTGCGGGTGCACTCGACTCCAATCTTAATTGACTAGGATTGTCAGTTTTCCTATCGAAGGTCGGTGGTTTTCTCCGGGCACTCTGGCTTCCTCCACCAATAAAAACTGGCCGCCACGAAATAGCCCAAAAGCGGTGCTTAAAAGTGGCGTTAAAACACCAAAAATCAAATCAAATCAATCTTGATGCTGAAACTTGAATCAAGGGTCAGAAAAAAGATGATTGCATGGGTTTTAAGTGCAAACTGATAGTCATATGTCATGAATATTCATGAACGGACAACAAAATTAATTTTATTTAGCTACTGAATCAACAGAAATTTCTATAGCATATAATACTTCAACAAGAAATTAGAATCCTTTAAAATATCTGTCTAAATACAGTCAATGAGTGCTCATGTTTTAATCATTTTATAATTCAAATTCCATTTTCTTAACAAAATAAGGTTTGTTGTGGGCTGAATTGGAAAGATAAATATAATACATATTTTTAGGGATAACTAGATATCATTGAGATGGGAGCCATCTCTGTGGGCCCCGCTGTGAATAATGTGTGGTAAAAAACTTGTATCTTTATCATTGGACATGGGGTTGTCAAATGAAACCCAAGTTTTTGACCTTGACCTTTGACCTAGGAAGTTGTACATAAATTATAACACACCCTCTGGTGTTGGTTTATATACATTTCTAGTATAAACTTTGAACTCATAACGGTTCTCAAGATATAGAGCGGACACGACCTTTACCATAGGACATGGGGTTGTCAACTAAAACCAAAGTTTTTGACCTTGACCTTTGACCTAGGAAGTTGTACATACATTATGACACACCCTCTGGTGCTGGTTAATATACATATCAAGTATAAACTTTGAAATCATAACGGTTCTCAAGATATAGAGCGGACACGATCTTTACCATAGGACATGGGGTTGTCAACTAAAACCAAAGTTTTTAACCTTGACCTTTGACCTAGGAAGTTGAACATACATTATGACACACCCTCTGGTGTTGGTTAATATACATGTCAAGTATAAACTTTGAAATCATAACGGTTCTCTAGATATAAGAGTGGACACGATTTGTTACGGACGGATGGACGGACAGACGGACGGACAGATTGATCACTATAGGGCAGCCGCCATTCGGCGGGGCCCTAATAAATACATTGCCCCAATCTTTTGATAATTAAAATTAATTTCATCAGGGGAGGTAACTTGTTGCCTACACTTATTGTGATCATTTCTCAAATTCCATTTTAGTACTAGCTAGCTAATTGCAATACATGACACATTTGCAACTAATTTCTGGGTAATAAATACATCATCCCATTTTTCAGGATAATAACTAATTTGAAATTCCATTGGTTTGATTTTACACAAGGTATAGCATTGTCTAAATGACAATCACACCACATCTTCTTATTTTTATATTGATATATGAACAATGCTCAGACAGTTGTTGCTTCATCCTCATGTGACCTTTACAATTCATTCTCTTTTCAACGTCCTTTAAAAACGACCTATTTATTCTAATTGTCTCTTTCTGTCTTGTAGCTTTTACTGTTTTTTTTTTAATTTTATGAGATTTTACCATTTAAACTTTCTGTCCTGAGGTTTATAATTTTTTTATTTCCATTTTCTTACCTTAGTTAAACTGTCTTTTTGTATACAGGTACCTGAGCAATCAATATTGTATACTTTCTTTATGGGATCTGTTGTGTCTAATAATTTAACAAATACTTTTATCAACTTTTCCTGAAATATAAAGGATCTCATATAAAGATCAATATATAATATATAATGTGGACACTTAATTGTACAATTAACTACTTATTTAGAACATTCTGAAATTGAAAATTAAGTACAATGCAATGCTCATACACTAACATAGCTATATATTTTTTACTTCTTTATAAACATCTGATGTGCAGATCTTCATTTACAAATTCTTTTCCCCCACATTTGTTAGGGTTAATCTTAATTTTATTGTTGGTATACATCATCATATAATCACAAACATAAATAAAGTCATGCTGTAATATTCTGACCGGTTTCAAAGTAATGGCACTGTTAACTTATAACTAGCTTCAGGTGATGTTTACTTTTGACCAGTTTCTAAATCATGACACTGCTAACTTCTCACCAGTTTCAATTGAATGCAGTCAGATTTTAACAGTGCCATGGCTTAGTCATATTTGTATTATATGCTGATGAATACCAACAATATAATTTTGCAAGCCTAATTGGCCTTTACAGTGTTTTTAATATTAAATGAATACACAAACAGGGTATAATTGTACGTCTGATGATTTGTGCAAAAACAATAGTAATAAAAGATATATATAAAATTAGAATTTAGTTGAAATAAGATATTGAAAAACAAATATTTCAATACATCAACATGATCAAAGGGTATTAGTCAGTGTCAATTGTTTTTTCAAAATGAAAAAATATATATGCAGTCTCTGTTGTAAATACTTAACCTACATCATTTTTGAAATTTTAGAATTATACAAGCATTGTTCAGTTTTTAATTATATAACTGTAAAGGTTGTAATAGTTAAATCAGAATAGATTGAAACGATTCATTATACATCATCATGATCATACTGATGAAGGATTTCTATTATCTGAAATATTTATAGATTCTCTCATTTATTGTTTCCAGATAGTCCTTTTTATCAATATTGGTGTTGTTTTGAACACTTTTTACAGGTGTATATATAATATATCTACTTTGTACAAAATCGTTTCTCATAACGATCCAGCACCCTAATAAGAAAGATCGTTGACTCATATCTAGATGTTTTATATAAACCGGTATATATATATATTTTGCATATAAAAAATTGACATATTCGCTTTTCAATATCTTATTTTATCTAATTTTTATATCTCTGTTATCTCTATTGTTTTTCACAATTGTTATTTCCCGTATAGAACTTATGTTAAGTAGCCAATCCTGTCTATAATGGCAAAGAAGTGAAGCTCCTTTAAACTGTGCAAAATACTTACTGCAGGCTGACCGAGGTCAATAGGTAAATCTTTAATACAGATTCTATCTATGTTATATCTATCTACTTACTGCAGGCTGACCGAGGTCAATAGGTAAGTCTTTAATACAGATTGTATCTATGTTATATCTATCTACTTACTGCAGGCTGACTGAGGTCAATAGGTAAATCTTTAATACAGATTGTATCTATGTTATATCTATCTACTTACTGCAGGCTGACCGAGGTCAATAGGTAAGTCTTTAATACAGATTGTATCTATGTTATATCTATCTACTTACTGCAGGCTGACCGAGGTCAATAGGTAAGTCTTTAATACAGATTGTATCTATGTTATATCTATCTACTTACTGCAGGCTGACCGAGGTCAATAGGTAAGTCTTTAATACAGATTGTATCTATGTTATATCTATCTACTTACTGCAGGCTGACCGAGGTCAATAGGTAAATCTTTAATACAGATTGTATCTATGTTATATCTATCTACTTACTGCAGGCTGACCGAGGTCAATAGGTAAATCTTTAATACAGATTCTATCAATGTTATATCTATCTACTTACTGCAGGCTGACCGAGGTCAATAGGTAAATCTTTAATACAGATTCTATCTATGTTATATCTATCTATCTCAAGCTTTACACAGTCTGCTTCAGCTGCAAATACAAATGAAAAATAGAAGATGTGCAGTATATATCAATCACACAGCAACTTATATACTGACTTTTTTATTACTGTGAAAGTACCTTTATTCGTTGGGTACCAATTTTCGTGGTTTTCGTGGATGGCTTTATCCCCGAATTTAAGTGTCCAGCGAAATATAACAACTGTTGTCCAAATCAAGACATGGAAAGATCCCCATGTAGATTTGACTACATGGAGACCTCAATGGAGATAGGCATATAATTTAGAAAATATATCTACTATCAGCAAACGCACTATGAAGTATATATACAACTTCAGACAGGATTTTATCCATTTAATCTTTAAAAAAAAAAAACTGTACGACATTTAACCTTTTAATTCTGGTGAAAAATTAGTTTTTAACGTTGAAAGTCTAGACACTTCCAATGATGATATGCGATGATGAAGTGTTCATTTTATCTTTTCGTTTCTTAATTACCTAATTCTCATAAGAAAAAAAAAATCGTTTGGGCTGGCTTTTTTATTTCATAAGAAATAATTCTACAATTGACATTTGCAGCATTTTTTTATGTAAGTGACATGTTTATGGTCAAATTAACACCTTTGATGATCGTTAATCTGTTGATCATTCCATCTCGGGTTAATTAGTGTCATCACTTTTGATAATACATGTGCAACAATTAAAATGTAAACTTTGTAATTTCCTTAAATCGAGACAATTTGTAAGCATAGATGAACCAGCTAATTACCAAAAGCAATTATTTGATCAAAAATTTGATGAATGTTGTCAGCAATAAAAGACGAGCAAGTAAGTGAAAATGAACACCTTATTTTGCAATCATTATAAAACAACATATGATTATTTTCAAGAATCTTCGTTTCTGGTGGCTTCAAATTCTACACTAGATTTTTTTGAGAATACCGTTCTAAAATCAATGAATTTAAGAACCCACAAACGTGTAGCTTTAGATCGAACCACGAAAATTAATACCCACGATTAAAAATACTTTCACAGTATGTGACCCAAACATCACTCCTATCAAGTTTGGAATGATTTATATACACTTTTCCAAATCTTTCTTTTGAAAATGCCACCTTTTAAATAATAGAAGCATACCTAAATTGGAACACACAATGTAAATATAAACTGTTGACACAAAGATACGTCTCCCCTGTTTCTAATTTTGATAGTAAAATACAAATGTTGAAATTAAAATAGCAATAATTTACCATGTAAGATATGCCAATGCTAATACAACTGTGTACCAAATATCATTGACTATCATTGGTTCCCTTTAAACTGACCTAATCACAAAATTTTAACATGTAAACTATGTAAAAGTTTCAATGTCAATAGACCATGACTGAGGGGAAGGGCCAACTAATCTTCAAGGAAATGAGATCTGCCAATGCTTATACAACGGCAACCCAAATATCATTGACCTATCATAAGTGGTTCATTAAACTGACCCTAGTTACAAACTTTTATCATGTAAAACTATGGAACAGTTTCAAAGTCACGTGACTAAGGGGGCGGGCCAAATAATCTCTGTAGAAATGAGAAATGCCAATGCTAGTACACTGTACTACTGCATAGCAAATATCATTTACTTACCATTAGTGGTTCATCTTAAACTGACCTAATCATAACATTTACATGTAAAACTATGCAAAAGTTTCAAAGTCAATAGAAAATGACTGAGGGGAGACATATAAATTATTTCAATGGAATATAGAAGTATCAATGCTAATACAACTGCATATCAAATATCATTAACCTACAACTAGGGCGTGTTTTTTTGTTCTTCGGTAGTGAGCCAGAAGAGGTCCATTTATGTTTTTTTGAATAGGGAAGATCTTCTGGCTCTCTTCCACCTCTTCTTTTTTGATAGGTAGTTTAGACGGCAGAGGCACATAACAAACATGGCGTCGTTTAGTCTAAATGACATTAATAATTTTATGAATGCAGATATATTAGAATGTGAGCTGTGTTATAAAAGTTTTTATGGTATGACAGTCTTAGTAGGACATCCCTGTAGGACGATAAGCTGGATAAATATAAGAACTACACGGACAATAACAGTTAAGAGACGACTATTTGATATTCTAGGGAAGGGATTTTGATTGATTGGTGTTTAACGCTACTTTCAACACTATAAGTTGGGCTATTCCGTGGTGGTCAGTTAAAATTTATAGATGAAGGATGGGGAAGGGAAGAGGGCATTATTAACTTTTTTAATCTGTTGCTGATTTTGCCTATTTTTTCAGCTCTTACCAGGCAACCATATTCATATATGAAATCCTCCTGTCCCCCACCCCAATAAATGAATAAATATCAAATGGTTTTTCTTCTTACTTAACACAAGTTTAAATTGATTGATTGTTTGTTGCTTATTTTTAACGCCCAGTGACAAATATGGCATGCATGTTCAGGACTCGGTTCAGGAAAACACGAGTTTAAAAGTCAGGTATATAATATAAAAACGAAGAGATGTATGATTGTTAATGAGGCAACTATCCACCGGAGTTCAAATATGTATAATGAAGTGGATGTAAGCAATTATAGGCAACCGTAATTAAAGCCTTGAACATTGACAAAACCCGATACTGTATTAAAAGTCGTCTATAAAAGGCCTGACGTGAAAAGCGTGAGAAACAGTTCAAACGAAAAAACTAACCGGGCCTAATTATACATAACAAAATATCAAATATGAGTCGAGACATGAACCAATGACAACCACTTAACTATAGGCTCCTGACTTGGGACAGGCACACAAAGAATATGGCAGGGTTGATATAAAAACGAAGATTGCCAATGAGACAACCCTCCACAAGAGACCAAATGACACAGCAATTAACAGTTATAGGTCACCGTACGGCTTTCAACAATAAGCAAAGCCCATACCGCATAGTCAGCAATAAAAGGCCCCGAAATCACAAATGTAAAACAATCCAAACGAGAAAACTAACGGTCTAATTAATGTACAAAAAAATGAACGAAAAACAAATATGTAACACAGCAACAAACGACAACCACTAAATTACAGGCTCCTGACTTGGGACAGGCACATACATACAGAATGTGGCGGCGTTAAACATGTTAACGGAATCCGGCCCAACCCGCCCCCTAACCTGGGACAGTGGTGTAACAGTACAAGAACATTGTTGTGAGCGCTCAATCCTTCCCGAAGCTGGGACAGTGGTGTAACAGTACAATATAAGAACTACCTGCACAAATCAATTGCAATTAGATTAACTCAAAAGATCGGTACGAGACACACAAAAAAAAACTTACATTAAGACAACAGATGCACAAAGCAACGAAATAAGAGTATTTGCAATTACTGGAAGTTTGTTCAAAGCTAATAACAACTAGTACTAAAATAAATCTTGTTCTCCCAGACTGAAGTATCAATCAGTACACAACCGACGGATTTATTAAAAAAAAAAAAGAAAAAAAAACAGTCTGAGAATTAAATGTCTGGTCTGGTATACATTGTATACTTGCATATTGATACATATACAATGAAAATTTTTGAAAAGTGGTAGTCCGAAGGTTTTGACCATCGAAATTTTGCAATAGAAATAATAGTTAGGACCAGAAGATTTTCTTCAAGGACCACCAGAGAAAAATGATTTGAGAACTTTCCGATATCTTTGCTTTATACAAAAAGAATCCAGTTTGGTTACTTTAAAAAAAATGGATAGACAAGATGTCCTTTTTGATCATATTCGAGACAAACATTGACGAATTAAAAATTAAAAATCAAATAGTGGGGGTTTAAGCCAGATTTGTCTAGCAAAATTGAGTTAGAGGAAAGAACAAAGAAAAATGTCACGAACAGAGCTCACTTTTACAGAGGCATGTCTACCGGACGTATCTTAATTTTCTATAAAATCATCGTAAACTTCATTTATGTCATCCAACATAACAAAAATCTGCTATATTCGACGGCAAATTGAATTTTTGTTTTGTTGATCCTCCGTATAATATCTCCAGAAGAGGCCCCGATTCATTTTAATGGACTCTTCACCAGAAGACATTCTGGAGATGTGCAGAAGAGACCAATAAAACACGCCCCTAGTGGTTCTCCTTAATCTGACCAAATCACAAACTAATACATCGTTGACACAGCTGCAAGAAACGGCATACCCTATTCTCACTTCTGCAACTTCATTGAGGCTAGACAAAAACTTTTATTAGCATAATATATCACTCGGGTTTAATGATTTAATAATGAATTAACCATGTCATTGTATTGCCTTGCCTCTGAATGTTTTTGATAGCAACTTGTATTGCCTTGTGCCTCTTTAGAGGGGAATGCTTCTCAGGGCCTGTTGTATGTAATCTTTAATTTACTCCTTACAAATGTTGTATGGTCATCTTCTATAAACTTTGTTGATGGTTTTGATCTTAATAACAATTATAGTGTTAGCTACATAATAGATGCTAATTGCAGGATGAATGAACTAGAGTCAAATTTCTGTTTGAAAGCTTTCCTAAATCTGGACATAAAAGAATTTTTCAATATTATCCTTTGTACTTTAATATCAAATTTTATCAATCTATAAAATATCTACAAACATGAAAAAAACTACTTACTAAATGTGAATAAGATGACATTGTCAATTTTTCTAGTAAAACTTATATTCAATTCAGAGAAAAATTCCACTACTTTTTCCCATAACTCATCTGCATTTCCAGTACTCATATCTAATGTTGCTAGTCTGCCAGTTTTGGAAAACAGATCAATAAATGGTTTTACTGCATTTGTAAATAATGTTGCTCTTTTCTGAAATGTTAGAATACAGTGCATTATTTCTTTACAAAAATTTCTTGATATATGTTCCTAGTTATTAAGTTTACCAGATATAAGGACAAGATATTTTTTTTTTTATTTCTGTCCATTCATTTAAAAGAAAAAAATTGAGCTGACATTTGTAACATAAGAACACCATCAACAGATCAGTTCAAGTTGAAATTCTAGTTTAAAAATAAGTTATCACATAATTGATAAAATTAACACTGGGTAATGCAGATGTAATAACCACAGAAATCCATTGGTCATATTCTGCCAAGAACAAATGACCACTTTGGAATGATATTGTAGTCTGGGGATGATAACAGGGCCAATATGGAAAGGGACACGTTATAATGTACAATTATGATGTTTTAATATATACATAAATAAAACAACACAGATTGACAAAACAAAATACATACAACTGAAACAGATTACACCAATCAAATTTATATCATTGAGAGATTAGTTTAAACTGAAACAGATCAGACCAATCAGATTTATATCATTCAGAGATTAGGGTTCTTTCAATACCATCAATAACATTTATGGAGAAGTGCTAATTTTCTATTCATTGGGTCAATATCTCAATCATAAAAACGTAAGCAAAAAGTTTCTGTGCAGTTATATTGGACAGAGATTAAACATGTTTTGCTGATTTGAAGAGTAGTGGACCGAAATATATAACTATGGAGTTATTAAAAAGGTTTCAAAGAACTGAATTTCAAGAGAACATTTTGTGTGAAAATAATGGTTTTTAAACTCAGGAAGCAGCATCAGGCCTAAAATAAAATATTGTTTGTTTCCCCAATCCCGACCGACCCTGCAAAAATGGTGCTACTCGTAAAATTTTATTGTCAAAACTAAGTCAAATATTATTTTAATCATTTTGGATTTTCAGGCTTGCCAGATCGTCCGATAATGTTCAAGTTTTTTGGAAAAATAATATTATTTCCCTACCTACCTACCCACACCTGGCTTGGCAGGGTCGGGATTGGGGAAACAAACAATATATTAATTTAGGCCTCATAAAGGGTTTCTCATGGTCTATTCATACCTCAAAATTTAACCACAGACTGTTGATTCTTTATTTTTTTGTGGGATACTAATTTTCATGGATTTTGTGGGTTCAATTGAACCACATATTTAAATGTTCAATGAAGTGCAAATTTTCTATCCCTTTGTATGCAGACTTTTGTTAAACCACGAAATCAAATATCCATAAAAATACTATTTTTTCCTTAATCCATGAAAAATTGGTACCATGAAAATAAATGAATAGACAGTATGTGAAAATGTCTAAGATTTGAAATGAACAATAATCATGATCATAGATCCATACATATCCAAGTTTACATATGGGCTAGGAATTTAAGAAAAGGCTTCTATACAGTCTACCTGTAATGAATTGCCTATGGTATATTGAACAAGTCGAAATATAAAGAACCTAACCAAGGGCTTTTGAGAAAAAAAATTTCAGAAAGGAGACAAAAGTTAAAGCCAAAGGAAGGCAACAGATACCAAGTGGTTGAAAACTCAACATTTGGCAAGTTGAAAATTGGACTTTATTTCATGAAGGATTAGAGTTTTTTGAAAACTACAATTGTTAGAACTTATAGGGGGAAATTTGTTTGTGAACTTTAATTTAGTATGTAATTGTTTTTTTAACCATCTGCTTGTCAAACTAAGAACCAAGTTTTAAATCACTTTAAGGATATAAATATGTGCCTGTCCCAAGTCTGTCACATAGTTCAGTGGGTGTAGTTGGTTCATGTCTGTTATATTTGTTTTTCGTAAATTGTTTTGTATTTTTAGTTTTTCCTCAATTGAATTGTTTCATATATTTCATGTTGGGGCCTTTTATAGCTGATTGTTGAAGGTCATACAGTTGCCTATAATTGCTTACATCCACTTCATTTGAACTTTAGTGAATAGTTGTCTCATTGGCAATCATACCACATCTCTTTATTTTTATATCAATCTTACAGAAGTTCTAGTGACATCAGCTTCATCTGTTTGAGCAGCTCCTTCCTTGCCTTTTGGGGTTGCTGTAGGATGTTTTGCACATTCAGCTACAGCTTTCTTTACAAACTTTTCTTGGGATATTAACATGTAGAAGGCAAATGATACAGGATACTGAAATTAATTGAACAAATTCAAAATTTAAACAAAGTAGATTTCAAAACTGACAATTACTTTTACATATATCTTTTTCTCCCTCTTGTGATGGTGAGTGCATATGGGGGCTCTAATACAAAAATAATTGAAAACAACTTTTCTAACTTCAGATCATTTCTGGAATTAATACATGTATGAGGTTTTATTGTGTTTCTGATACAAAGTAACTAGTTGACACATTCCAAATTGCATGGACATGATTGAATTGAATATGTGTGTTAACTGTCAATGTATGCAAGTCAACTGACAAAGCAATCTTTCAAATGAGGATGAAATAAATGGAGAATGTATCCATGGGACACAGATGATGCCCCCGCTTGCATATAATGTTATAAAGGGACATAACTCAAGAACGGTAAAAGTGACACCACCCAAATCTGATCTTGATCTTAGTTTTGTGGTAACTTATTTTGTGGAAATAAGCATAATGTATAAGTTTCATAACATTTGGTTGAGGCAAACTTAAGTTAGAGAACGGAAACAAAAATTCAGCAATATGCCATTTGTAAAGGGACACAACTCTAGAACTGTAAAAGTAACACCACCCAAATTCAAATTTGATCTGTGTTTTGTGGTAATAAGCATTGTGAATAAGTTTCATAACATTTGGTTGAGGCAAACTAAAGTAAGAGAACAGGAACCAATTTCGGGATGTACGTATGTTCGTACGGACAGACATACAGATGGACAATGTCAACGCTTAATGTTCCATCCGCTGCGGGGGGGGCATAAAAATGGTACATTTTTATCTTCTTTGTCACAATCACAACTGGTCTTTCTTTCCTTACTTCATTATCCAACATGAGTACCTGAACAGGCGTAAGCATGAACACAGGAAATGCTTATCCTATAGAGGGCCCAAGCATCTTCAGTAATCTTATCATATTCCCACTAGTGTCTGTGGTATGTTTGAGAAAGATTATTTGTGTTTTATGACATTTTTTTTCCAAACCTCTTTTTTTCTTGAACCTCAACAGTATTTCTTTGCTCAAAATTGAAGATGTGTCAGTCTGTCACTTTTCTTCTTCCCTGATCAATTTCAATGTACATTACACAGATGTTTGATTGTTGAAACACTTTTTAAATTTATGCAAACAAATTCATTTTTATTTCAAGCTTCCAGGTTTCCAGTCAAAATATATACAAACCACCTTCACTCTTTTTAAAAGACCAGAACCACCTTAAGTATTCTTATTTTTATATTTCATCTTGTATGTTTTTACTTCACAATTTATTGATCTACAGTTTTTCTATAATTATCTAGTAATGTTTCTAAGTAATTAGTAGAGGACATCTAAGAAAACTGATCATCCGATATATATTTCCTTGGATCACTACATTATGCATAGTATAAAGGAAAATATGTAGTAATCTCATTTTCAATGTGTAAATGATGAGGGCTGTTCTTGTGTTATTTTAATGCTACATAATTTGCTCTGCCTGACCGCTTGAAGTTAATAATACAAGTATGTAATGAATTTGTTTACTTAGGATTATTGTTTAACTATAACAGTATTTCTACTGTATAAACAGACATTATCTAAACAAGGTAGAAAAATTACTTGAAGTTTTAAAATATGACGAATGCTTTAAACAAGCTTTAGTATCTTAATTTGATTTTTGTGTAAACAGTAATATGAATTATGCCAGTGAAACCCAAGATTTTCATGTGGCTTTTTCATCCAAAATGTTTACCTTGTCCTCAAAAAATCTAAATTCATGATGGCAGTCTTTTACGAATGTAGAAACCATCTGCATATATTTCAAATTGGGCATCCAGTCCACCAATATGGTCTGGTCTTTGTTCATTTCACTCAAAGCTTTGGCAACCCACTTCAAAACAACATCTAGTCTGAGAAGTTCTGGTTGTGCCTACAAGACATGACAGATTAACACCATGAAATATATACAATACAACATGTATCTTCTAACAAAACATGTTTGCTGGAAATATTTTTAGTGCACATAATTTAGTTTACAAATATATATATATATATATATATATATATATATATATATATATATACATGAACAAGTCTAAATTGAAAACATCGTTCAAACCTATGATTGCGTTGGATAAAAACCACAATTTTTGTACGTGTGCATGCAAAACAAATTTCTTGGTAGAGGGGTCTAAATACAGCACAAACAACATATTCCAAAAGACCAAATGAGTGAAAAAGTATATTTTAACAAAACGCATTTGACTCGCAGGTCAAACAACTGATGTTGTTAAACCCTGCTGACTGCCATTGTCGATTGCCAAATAAACAGATCACAAGATGTAACAAAATAGATCTTATTATTAATTTATTACCAAACAGAAAACAATGAATATATATATATACATGATATATCATGCATGTAATATAGTAAACATACTACATGTATTGTCATAAAATATATGAAAGCCAGTTTGTGTAACTTACATACAAATGAACATAATTTTTTTTGTTTCTTAGGTACATTGTACTTCAAGTTTCAAATATGAACATCATATTACTCAACAATTAAAGAAGGTGAGTTCAATCCTATCAGCCAATTAACATGATAAACATAATCAGCAATTAAAAATTATATCAATAAATCAGCAGAGCTCATGGTGAAATTTTTTGTATCAAGAAGTTGTAACTTACTTTAATAAGTTGTTGAACTTGTGCTGTTAGACGAGATGGATCAGGTTCTTCCAGCTTCTTTGCAAGTTCTTCCAATATTATATTTTCCACATTAAGAGTGTTAAAGCCAAACACTTGAGCTATGTTGTACACCATTTTTCCCTTTTTGGAACCAGGCCCACCTGAAAGCAAACATATGATGAAGACATAACCTTTCAATTAGTTTAATTAAGGTCTGGAGCTGGCATGTCAGTAACTGCTAGTAGTCTTTTGTTAATTTATGTTGATCATTGTCATTTTGCTTAGTTTCTTATATGTTACCTATTCTAGTATCGGACTTGGACTTCTTTTAAACTGAGTTTTACTGTGCGTATTGCTGTGTGTTTGTTTATTCCACATTGGCTAGAGGTATTGGGGGAGGGATGAGATCTCACAAAACAATTTAACCCCGTCGCATTTTAGCGCCTGTCCCAAGACAGGAACTTCTGGCCTTTGTTAGTCTTGTATGTTTTTTATAATTTTTGTTCATTTATATGTTACAGAGTTTAGTGTGATGTCACTTTTCGCTGAACTAGTATACATTATTGTTTAGGGGCCAGCTGAAGGACGCCTCCTGGTGTGGGATTTTCTTGCTGTGTTGAAGACCCATTGGTGGCCTTGGGCTGTTTTCTACTCTTTGGTCGGGTTGTTGTCTCTTTGACATATTCCCCGTTTCCATTCTCATTTTTATATTTAAAGAATTAGCCTCTGAATAAGAGGTAGTGTGGGATTTACATTAATGAGAAAGAATTCCCTAAGACAAGGATACTTAAACTAAAACAAAGGCTGTTGTCTCTTTGACATATTCCCCGTTTCCATTCTCATTTTTATATTTAAAAGTATTAGCCTCTGAATAAGAGGTAGTGTGGGATTTACATTAATGAGAAAGAATTCCCTAAGACAAGGATACTTAAACTAAAACAAAGGCTAAAAGGTTCCAGTAAACAATCAAAGCACTGTAAGCGCTGTAGGCAGTTAACCAAAAACCAAGGCAAACATAATTATGAAAACTGTGGCTATGTTGCTTCATTTTTTTTAAGATTTAAAAGAACAAACATTAAACATTCATATATTGTGCATTTATGTTCATTTAATGAATTAATTATTAAGGCAAATAATTCATATTTTATCAAGGTTTTCAAAAGCAACGCATATATCAAGTATATTTTTAATGGTCATGTGTCTGCAGTGGTACAAGTTCGAAATGATTGCAGTTGTTCTAGTTGATAGTTAACGTTGGTATTAGTTGACTGTTAGTAGTTCAAGTTGACTTAGTACGAGCTTGTAATAGTATGCATGGACTTGCTTCCCTGGAAAGAAAACTGAGTTTGTGTTCTACAGTGCAAAAGTTATGAGACACAAATCAGACAAATGTTTACTACTACGGGGATCAAAGGTGAGGTCTGACTGACCTGCCCATAATAAATGTAAATGACCCCCGCCTTCACCCCAAGTCCATGATGTCTAAGTTTGGAATAAAATGACAGGTGATTATAATAAAGTTGGTCAAACACTCTTGGGCTTGAAAGATATGTTTTCTTTAAAATGAGCCATATTAAAATGAAATTTTTTATAGAACCAGAAATTATTCAAAATATAATTAAGGTAAATTCTTTAAACCTACTCATTTTTTGCATCAATAAAATTTTATAATAAACAAGAAATAATTGTAACAGAATGCTGTTACGAAGTCTCCCAAACAAAGCTGCCATAATTATTCATTCCCATGGTCGCCTGACATTGGGCAAAGTCTAGTACACATTGATTAGGTCTAGTAAAGTGATATGCATATGTGATGCCTATGAGATTGACCTTGTATGTCATTCAAATCTGTTTGAAATGACGAACAGGAATGAATATGGTTTAGGAGTTGGTATCTCAAACTTTTACAAGTTCTTAAAACACACACAAGAGGGGATGGGGTGACCTTAGGGACTAACCCTATATTTCATTTGATTTTTTATGTTGTCCCATACATGAATATATATATGGTTTAGGGGTGGGGATCTCGACCGTTATCAAGTTTTCAAACTGGAGGGGGTGGGGTGACCCCGGTGACTTCCCCTATATTTCATTTGATTTGTTATATTGCCAAATACATGAGTATATATGGTTTAGGGGTGGGGATCTCATCTGTTTCCAAGTTATCAAACAGGAGGGGGTAGGGTGAACCTTAGGACTCTCCCTATATTTCATTTGATAAGTTCTGCTGTCCCATACATGAATATATATGGTTTAATTTAGAGGTCGGGATCTCGACTGTTTCCAAGTTCTCAAACAGGAGGGGTGGGGTGACTGCAGGGACTCCCCTATATTTCATTTGATTTGTTATATAGTCCCATACATGAGTATATATGGTTTCGGGGTGAGGGTCTCGACCGCTTCCAAGTTCTCAAACAGGATGGTTTACAGTGACCATAGGAGCTGCCCCTATATTTCATTTGTTTTGTTATATTGTCCCATACATGAATATATATGGTTTAGGGTGGGGATCTCGACCGTTTTCAAATTCTCAAACAGGAAGGGGTAGAGTGGCCCCAAGCACTCAACCTATATTTCATATAATTTGTTATGTTGTCCCATACATGAATATATATGGATAAGGGGTTGGATCTCGACCGTTTCCAAGTTCTCAAACAGGAGGGGTGGGGTGACCCCCAAGGACTCCCCCTATATTTCATTTCATTTGTTATATTGTCACATACATGAATATGTATGGTTTATGGGATCATTATTTTTTTGTATGCTCCAATGAACAAATTATGTCTTTAAGAGAAAGATATATACCTACATATTACACACAAAATCCTTCCCAATTGAAAAATACTGGTCTATTATCACACTGTAACGTGCCACTGCTAACAAAAGTGTGCATGTTTCTAAGACATATTGAAAAAATATTTTCATAATACAAAGCATGTTACAATAACTTCATATCCACGTTGCAATTAAGAATTTTGCAAACAAATCAACCAACTATGGTTTATTTCAATTTTATTGTATGATATCACTTATTTATTTATTGTGTGTCTTGCTTGTAAATGTATAAGTATATATGTAATTGTTAATGTATAATTGTTATCCTCTTGTAGCACCATACGTGTGCTTAAGTTTAAATAAATTGTCTTGTCTTGTCTTGGGATCTTGACCGTTTCCAAATTCTCAAACAGGAGGGGTGGGGTGACCGCAGGGACTCCCTCTATATTTCATTTGATTTATTATATTGTCCCATACATGAATATATTTGGTTTAGGGGTGGGGATCTCGACCATTTCAAAGTTCCCAAACAGGAGGGTTGGGGTGACCCCAGGGACTCTCCTGTATTTCATTTGATTAGTTATATTGTCCCATACATGAATACATATGGTTTAGGGGTGGGGATCTCGACTGTTTCCAAGTTCTCAAATAGGAGGGGTGGGGTAACCCTAGGGACTTCCCCCTATATTTCATTTGATTAGTTATATAGTCCCATACATGAATATATATGGTTTAGGGGTGGGGATCTCATCCGTTTCAAAGTTATCAAACAGGAGGGGGTAGAGTGACCCAAAGGATTCCACATTTATATCATATGATTTGCTTACATTCAGGTATCATAAAATCTAGTTGCACTATTTGCGAAAACAAAGTAAGAAACTTCCAGCTATGTTAACTGACCCTTCAAAATTGAGAAAAAAATTGCAGTAATGTGTTTACACTTTAAAAGCATCTTACATGCATTATCAACATTTATCACTGATAAAGAAGATTTATACTGTCACCAGGAACATATATATTGTTAGATATACTGTTCCCAGCTGTCACATTGTATTGGATTTTGACATTAAAATTTGTCAAAAAGTAATTTTGAGTTTCTGTATCAAATATTTTTTGCTTTTTCTTTCTTTTACATATATCTTTTGGTTTCCATTTCTAGTGTTTATATTTATTTACCATGCATAGATGTATTTTGTCACCTGCCTGAAATTTTTTTTTGTAGTTGATCTCCAAAACCCGGAATTACCCTTATCCGCTTCCGGAATCGGACCCGATATTGTAATTGTCTACACGGCATCCATTGTTTTTCAATGTTGTTTTTGTCAGTCAGATACGATTTTACTCGAATTTACACATTACTTGTAGGCGATTATCTGTATAAAGCTAGCGGTTGAACAAAATGAACATCGCTGTCATGAATAATAAAGATGAAAATACGTTTTGAGATCGTTTATTTAGAGACTTTGGTAAAAAGGTTTGCAAAGTTATTTTTAATTTTCTTTCAAGTGAAAGGTCCGTCGGGCGTAGCTAGTAACCAAGTCGAGAGTCCGATTGCAAAAGTGGAAGGTCGCGGACCTCGGACCACCTTTAATTTGAATCCCTGCCTCCAAATTGAAAAGATACGAAAATTTCGTCTTCTAATTTGAAATTGCCGCCAACAGCATGTACAGTGGAACTTATTAATAGACTACTGACGTAGTTGTAACACGTATTGACGACAAACAATATTCCTACGACTTTTGCCATTTGGGAAATCTAAACTACTTGTCTTTAAAGATTTTCGGCGATTAAATATTTCATACAATTGTTCTTCGACATCTTAGCCAAAAGCACAGGGGATAATAAACTACATAAGGATTCCTAATGTGCTCTACTTCCTATGTGCAACTTCAAAACTTTTGGGTGGTTCGACGATCATTTAAGGTTTTTTCTGGTCATATTTTTGTAATCCAGAATTAAAAGTATGAAAAAACTATTTAATTAGTTATAAATAACATTATATCCAGCTAGATAATAACAATGGCACGTATTTCAGCATTTATTGGGTAGAACACAAATCTAGGGTGCTCGCATAAGGCAGCTTTACTGCCTAAAAATGGTTTTTACAATTTTTTATTATCCCTTACTGATTATATTAATCTAAAGTCATTGAAGCATATTTATGAGTAGGAGTCTAATATATTGCTTTAAACATGTTAAACTGGGACTATGATACTAACTATTAGTATAATTGTCCCAGCTTTAAATAGACATTATAATAGGACAGATTCTATGAAATTTTCCTTGAAATAAAGTATCAAAAATACGAGATGAAATGTGTGCAATACTAATGATACCCCACTTTATGTATTCAATGAACTGGAAGTTGATAAGCTATGGATGTGAA